TAATTGAATTCTTTTGAGAAAATGTAATTAAAATTATTGTATTGAAAATAATTTAATTCTTGGCAAGATTTGTTTTAAAATTCTCTAAAATAATTTAATTGTTTTGAAGAATTTATTTTAATTCTCTTGGAAATAAAGAAGTGTTTTTAAAATAATTTTTACTGAAAATGTTGAAAGTAATTGAATTTTATAAAAATTTTCTTTTAAGTTTTTAAAATAATCGAGTTTATTAGGTATTAATAATTGTAATTAACGATTTTCCTATTAAATTATATTGAAATTATTCATAGAAAATTAAATTCCTGTAAACAATTTTATTAGAGTTTTTGTAAATAATTACTTTTTTTTTAAAAGTATTTCATTAAATTTCCTAAAAATAATGTAATTTTTTAAAGTAATTTTAATTTTTATTTGAAAATTATGAATGTAATAGAAATTTATAAAGAATTTTATTAAAAACTTTTGAAAATAATTGAATTGTTCAAAAAAATTGTATTACAATTTTTAAAAATAATTGAACCTGTTAGAGAAATTTTATTAAAATTATCTTGAATATATTTAAATTTTTTCCCAGAAATTTAATTAAAATTGTATTGAAATTTTGAAAATAATTGAATTTCTCAGAAGAATTTTATTATTTACAAAAATAATTGAAGTCTTGCCAAGAATTTTACAATATTTATAAAAATAATTGAATTGTTTCCAAGAATTTTTTATCAGAATTGTTGAAAATAATTGAACTTCTCCAAAACATTTTATTATTTATGAAAATAATTGAATTCCTTCGCGAAGAATTTTATTACTTATGAAAATAATTATAAATTTTTGCGGAGGATTCTATAATTCATATAAAATTGAATTGTTTTGAAGGATTTTATCTGAATTTTTGAAAATAGTTGAATTTTTTGAAGGAATTTTACTAAATATTTTAAAAATAATAATTTAAAAAAAAAATTCATCAAAATTGTTAAAAATAATCGAATTTATATTAAAATTCTTGAAAATAATCGAATTTAATTAAATATTTTTAAAATAATTGAATTCTTTCGAGAAATTTTATTAAAATTCTATTGAAAATAATTGAATTGCTCTAAAAAATTTTATTATTAAGTAATAATTTTTTTTCTGTTAACAAATTTGAGAAATAAAAATGATATCTATATATATCTTTATAAAGAATAAAATGTTTTATTTCATGTGTGGCAATTCACTTAGAAAGTTTTCAAAAGTAAATTGACATTAAAGGGCAAGATTGATTTAAAGCAGATAATATAATCATTGGATAAATATGCACGACACGCTTTTTGAATATATTTGAGCCAAGAACAATGTGTTAGGCCGCCTCTTCGTGTAACATATGCAACAACATGAGATTAGACTAGACGCGAGCTAGACTTTTATTACCTAACACCTCAAACAATACAAATATTATATATATATATATTTATATTTATCTTTTTATTGCACTTCACAAATTATTTTTTCATTCAAAATTTTTTTTTCTCCTGGTATATTGTATTTTTTATTTTATGAATTAATAATTTCTTCTTCTTCTTACTATTATTATTGTTATTATTATTATTATAATTATTATTATTATTATTTTTTTTTTTTTACTTCCTTCTCCTCCTAATAAAATTATTATTTTATTTTTACCTCCTTCTTCTCTTCAAAAAAAAATTATTATTATTATTATTAATCCCTTACGTGTCATGTCAAAGATTTGTCGTACAAAATCTTTATTATAGACACTTAGAGGTTTAAATAAATTTTATTAAATTTAAGAAAAATATACTTAATTTGTTAAACAATGAAAATTTGCTAAATTAGTGATAGTGATACAATAATAATTTTGTTATTTATTAAAAACAAATAATTTTGTTTTTTACTACGAAGAAAATAATTTTGTTTTTTATAAATAAAAAAAAAATATAAAATTGGTATTTTTTATTTATTAAAGAAAATGAAATTGTACCACTAAATACATAATAGCACGAAATTAATTAAAATAATGAAGTTGTATCAAAATAGAGTTAACTGGCAATTATATATTATACTGTCGTGTCTAATTAATAATAAAGTCTTTAATTAGTTTGATTAGTAAATATCCTCCTCTCTCTCTAGGTGCGATAATTCAAAATAACAACTCTTCATATTGGTATATATATATATACGAGTGCTATAATTTGACATAAATTACAACTGAATGGCTATTAAAACACACGGTGTATAGGTATATACCATCAGTGCTCATTACAAATAATAAAGATTATTCTGTCGAGTCAAGTGCGATGATCGTCTTCTTTGCTAATGATTTATTAATGATCTTATGAAGATATTTATATTTGTAGTCAATTCACATGTGACATGCTCCAAATTCTAGTGAACTCGTGACACATATATGACATATTTTTATACAATTTTATTATATACATTGATGACCGTTTTTTTTTATCTTTGTCACCATTTTTGCAATTTTTAAATTATTTAATAATAGTGTATTATTTTTTTATTTTTTATTTATTTGCTTTTAATTTTACTAATAAATAGTGTATTATTTTTTATTTATTTGCTTCTAATTTTACTAATAAATAGTAATTTTTACTAATTATTTAGTAAAATTTACAAATTCAAATGAAAGAACTTAATCGCTAATTTAGTAAATTAGTAAAGTTTACTAATTTCAACCAATTTAAATTTTTACTAATTTGAATTAGTGACTAACATTTTGCTTTGAAATTAGTAAATTTTATTGATAAATTAGTAGAAATGACTATTTATTAATAAATTTTACTAATGGATTAGCAGAAATTTCTTTATTAGTTAATTTTACTAATAAATTAGTAGAAATTATTATTCATTCATAAACTTTACTAATTCAAAAGCAAGAAGTCAGTCACTAATTCAAATTAATAAATATTTTACTAATAAATTAGTAGAAATTACTATTTATTAGTAAATTTTACTAATAAATTAGTAGAAATTTCTTTATTAGTCAATTTTATTAAAAAATTAGTAGAAATGACTATTTATTAGTAAATTTTACTAAAAAATTAGTAGAAATGACTATTTATTAGTAAATTTTACTAATAAATTAGTAGAATTTCTATTTAATAGTAAATTTTACTAATAAATTAGTAGAAATTACTATTCATTAGTAAACTTTACTAATTCAAAAGCCAGAAGTCAGTTACTAATTCAAATTAATAAATATTTTTACTTATTCAAATTTAAAGAGATGTTTAATTCTAATTTAACAAATAATAAAATTATCAACTATTATTCAAGAAGAATATCAATAATAATTTTTAGTAATATTATATTTTTTTTATTTTGATAATAATATAATAATTATAGTTTTGTAATAATAAGAATAATTATAAGTATTTTAGATTGGAATTTTTTTGCAAATTTATTCATTTAGCTCGTAATTTATTAAAAAAAAATTTATTTATAATTCAATAATTTATTAATAAATAAAAAAACATAGTATTACGAAGTAGGTATCGCAAATATTTTGAGATATTTTTTTCTCAATTCGATATCCTTCTAGTGAAAAAAAATTATTTGATTCAAATAACTGATTACTTGTCTATTATCAAATAAATATTTGCTTGAATCGAATAATTTTTATTTAAATCAATTAAATGGTATTTGAACCAATAATTTTAGTGTTTGAAGTAAATACTATTTATAAGTGACTAAAATATTAAAAATAAATAATAATTAAATAATTAATTTTGAAAAAAAGTTTAGTTGAAAATTCTAGAAAATAATTAAATTTTTGAAGAGTCCTAGTAAATATTCTTTTAATATTAATTATTTCATTCAAGGAAATATTTAATTGTTAATAGTCAAGTAATCGATTATTTGAATCAAACAAATTTTTTTTTCAATGTAGAAAAACTGTTAAATTATTGCGATTTTATTATTTAAAATTTCAATTATTTATTATTTATTCTTTATTTATTAATATTTATTATTTATTTGTTTAAAATTTATTATTTATTTAATATATATTAGCAGTGGACGGGCTTATAAAATAAATTATATTTTTTACAAATTAAAATTTATTATTACCTTAAATTCAAAATTTGACAATATTGATTAAAAATGAGAAAGTTTTTTAATTTAATTTTAAAAAATTGCTTTATTTTAATTGGATTAATAAAATGGATATTTCTTTATAGTGAGTGTCAATAGTGACGCACGCACGTGTAACCCGGTTACGTACACTCGTGCTCATTAATGCCTTCTCTCAGGGAAGGCACTAATTTGACGCGTTTTGCCCACTTTCTATATTTTTTATAGTTTGTGCCAATAATTCCATAGGAATTTTACTTTTCCATTGGTTGATTTTTTATACAATATAGATGGTAGGCAAAGTTCGTGAAATTAGTGCCTTCCCTGAGGGAAGGCATTAATGAGCACGAGTGTACGATCAAACAATAATATGGCTGCGAAATATTTACGCATTTTGTCCACATTTTTACTTGTCAATAAATCAAAAAAATGATAATGGTACAGTTAATTTTTTTTATTGATTTACTTCAAAACTAGAAAGTTTAATTAAAACTGAGATTTTTTAATTAAAGACAAAAATTTTGTCTACTTGTATAAAATATAATTATTATTCATTAATAATTTTACAAACAATTTATTTAATAACTACTTATTTGCAAAATATTCAGTTCAGAATTTTCTTTATTATTTATTTTCATATCTGTATTTTTTATATATTTATATTTATTTTCTTATTTATTTAGCAAATTTATTTCTAATTGTTTTATTTTTGTTCTCATTTTATATTTACTATGTTTTTATTTTTGTTTTCATTTTCTTTTTTTTTCCTTTTTTTTAATTTCTGGTTGTTTTACACCTGTTTTTAAAATTTTTAAAATTATTTAAAAATTAAAGAAAAAAATTGAATAAATTTTTGTATTTTTACATTTACATTATTCATTTATATTAACAAAAAAAAAAAATTTGTTTTCTTTCAGAATATTCCGGTAAAAAATGAAGAAACCACATCGATGTATACTATTGGCATTTATAGTCTGGGTAAACTTGAAAGAATCTTTTAGTTTACCGGTACCTGAAGATGAGTTGGACACTTCGACAAGATTACTTGGTTCCAGGTCAGTGGCTACAGGATTCTTAATATTTTTTTTTTTTTGCCCCCCATTTTATTTTACAACCGGATGCTTTCATTATTTTAGTGCGTACATATATGTAAATTAAGAGTTTTTCGCGAATATTTATTCAGGTCAAAGTTATAATTTTATTTCTTAAAACTTCCTTATTATATAAGTAAAAGAAAAAAAAAATTACCGCACAAGAGTGTTAATTGTCCGGAACTGAAGATAATAAAATTCATGAGCTTTATTTAAATTTTCCCTAATTATTCTGTAATTAATAATTATTATTACCGTTTATACACTTGAAGATCAAAAAGATTCTAAGCGCACGCGAGAACGATTTTCTTTTTTAGAAGAAAAAATCTTGATAGCAAAAAGGAAAATATGTGCGACAGTTACCTAATTAGAGTTTGCAAATCTTTCCAAGCAGGACGATAATGTCTTTTACAATCCTTGCGGATGGTTAATTAATATCTATAATTTTATATTTAATTAACATAATTTTTCCAGTACTATAAATTATTTTAATAAATTTAATTTTTATTCAATTTTACTAAATTTCATTTAATTTTATGTAATTCTACTTATTCTACTTTAACTTTAATTAATTTACTAAATTAATTAAAGTTTAATTTTTGTTAATTAGGAATCGGAAATTTTCTATAAATTATTATTTAATAGTTTTAATTTAATAATTTAATAATTTAACATTGTTGTAAGATAATGAATAATATTTTCTCAGACGAAAAAAATAAAACAGTTTTGAATATTTCTTTCTAGAAAAATCGAATGACTTATGATAATTTATGTGAATATTTTGCAGTAAGCCTTTCTCTTTTGCATTAATTCATTGTCAGGCAAGGCCATAGTATGTACAGATGCTTTTATAAATCGATTCATGAAACTGATAACATGATGCAATAATAAAATGACAAGATTATCGACCTCTGAAATAATTTCTCCTACAAATAGACGATAAAAATTGGTTACTGCTTTTTTTCGCAATAATAATGCTTCTGTATTTTTGTAATTATTTATTTTTCATTTCTGCACTTATTTATTATTTATTTATAATTTTGTATTATTTATTTATAATTTTATATTATTTATTTATTATTCTATATTATTTATTTATCATTTTATATTATTTATTTATTATTAATTTTAATAATTTCCTAAGGATATCAATTATTTTCTTGACAAGAGATTTGTAAATTATTTTTTATTTGACAATATTTCTTTTTTTTCATGTACAGCGTTGTAACGTCCGTATCAATTGTCTCTGGAAATGAAAAAATTGGTGGCAGCATTTTACAAAGTAGGAAAGCTATTCCTGGATTTGATCTTCCACCATCGCCCGGAGGACTTTTGAGACCAGATAGATTTCAATTTTACACCCTCAACAAAAATGGTGAAGTTGTCACTAAACAAATGACGGAAAAGGAAATTCAAACACTCATTGCTGCCGGTGGCGGGCATTTTCCAACGGAAATTCACGAATCACAGACTGCTGGAATTGTCCCAACTTCCGGCATGAAGGTTCGTTTTCCCTCCTTTTTCGGTTATATCTTCTTTTTATTGTTCTTTTAATTTTTCTTTTGTTTTTGTTTACTAATTTTTCTAGCACATTTGATCTGATAATTAGTTTAACAAATTAATTTTCCCGCTCCAGGTTGCAGACGTGGTTCAAAATGTGCAAAACGTCCTCAAAGGTGAACTAAGTAAACCAACAACAGTGATGACATCAGTGCCAACAATTCCCGGCCATGCAACCGACGAATGGAGCAGTATTCTCCCATCAATCTTAGCCGGAGACATGGAAACACAATCGATAGCAATTCCAGATTCCGAACTAACGGAACTGAAAAATAACGCACCCGTTTACCAAACAGAAGAAAAACCCCAAATTGCATCCAATCCAAATGAATCAAAATTCAACAACACTCCAACGAAGGATATTGCAAATACTCCCAAACCAATTGAGAATCAATTCAAAAAACCCGAATTTACTTCTGTTCCTGGTGCTGCTCAGTACGAGGCAATCAATACCCCAAGTACCATGAGACCGGAAAAATTGTCTCCAAAACCACCCAGACCGGATTTAGAGAATACTTTCAGCAAGAGACCAGTTCAAGGAATGAATCAAGGAATACATCAAGGAATAAATCAAGGAATGAATCAAGGAACAAATCAAGGAACGAATCAAGGAACAAAATTAGAAGAAACGGTTGAGAACAAACCGCTCAAGAATAAACCATCCCAAACTGTTACTGTACCAACCAAAAGACCGTACAATCCGCCTTCTTCTTCTCCAGCTCCGGAGAAATTTAACAAGACACCAAATCCTTTGAGAACTACCAAGAGACCCTACTATACCTACCGACCTGAATTCCCTCCAGTTTCTTATTCCGAAATTCCGATGATTCCCGTCCATGTAATCACTGCTGATCAGATAATGACATCAACGGCCCAATACCAAAAGGATACGGCCCCAGTTTTTCAGGTTTTGAATACAATTTCCGCCGAGGCTGCAACGAATGCTACGAAAATTGTCCAAGATCAGAGCAAGCATTCGTATCCTGCCTACAAGCCGGATAAATTTGTGGAAAAGTTCACTAGCGAGAGGCCAAAGACAACACTACCGCAGGTCATCATTTCCGAAACGAGTCTCTATACAAAACTTCCAGATTTAGTGACAGTTGCTACCAAAGCAGAACCGATCAAAGTTACGACCAGCAAACAACCGAGTAAATTTGCCACTACTATTAAACCGGAAGTAAAGACAACTGTTGCCATGAAGCAACAGACGAATCAATCGTTAGGTGATAAGTTGTCAGTTTCGAATGAACCAACTTCGATTAAACCAGTTTCGAATAAACCAGTATCGGACGAATCAGTTTCAGATGAATCAGCTTCGAACGAATCGGTTTCGAACGAAACTGACAATCCTATCGAGTCCCTTAAAGGAGTAACCAAACCAGATAAACCGACAGACTCCTTTAATTTGGATAAAACATCCACGACAGTGGACGTAACGACCGAGGTTATCGACTCCGGGTCGACGATCGGATCCGTAACAACAAATCCATTATTAGAGACGAGAGAAACACCGGATTTTGAATTAAAAACGACATTTAAGTACGAATACAAAACACCGTTGTACGAAACAAAAACAACCGAATTTTTGGAGACAAAAGCAACCACAGAAACCTATCTCTACGAGTCGAAGACAACCGAAACTTTCGACGAAACATACTCGAAACCACTGACAGATATTCCCGAAACAACTGATTCTGATTTTACCAACAAAGAAACCTTTGTATCCCTAATTCCTCTGGATCTAAAGGAAAATAAGGTAAATTCGCCCGAAACGTCAGCTATCGAAAAAATCATCGAAACCCTGCACCATCCCACGGAGAGTAAATTCGGAGCATCTATCCTCGACACCAACAATCAAGAAATGGAATTTTCGACTAATTTCCGAATTAGTGATGATGATAGCTCAACAACTGTAAATTCGTTTACGATTGAAGAGGACGGTGGAAGTAGTACTGAGAGTGGCACTGGAAGAATCACTGAAAGTATAACTGGAAGTATTACTGGAAGTATCTCTGGAAGTAAATTCTCTACTGTCCCTACTTTGATGAACAATGACGACTCCGTGGAATTGACAACCAAACCTTACGAACCACTACCAACTGAATTGGCCGATTCCCTATCGAGCATGATTTCACAGATATCCGAAGCTGTACCATCATTGGTATCGCAAAATTCCCTCCTTACTGAAGAGCCGCTTTTGGACGATTCGAACACAATTGCTGATTTGAATACCGAATCATCCAGAGTCACGCAGGATTTACTTGGTTTTGAGACAACATTCTACAAACATGCCAATGTCGACATTAGTGCAGCAACAGTTCGCATGGAAGATAGTACCGAAAAATTGAACAATTTCGCTTCGACCTCGAGACCCGATTTGGAGAATTCTTCAGTCGTTTCGGATTCTTTTGTGACTTTGGTCCCTTCTTTGAATTCTGAAGGTTCCTCTGCATCATCTTCTGCTTCTTCTACTGTCTCTCCTTCATCATCATCATCATCATCATCTTCTTCTTCTTCGAAAATTACTTCTTCAGTATTGTCTTCATCAAGTTCGTCAGGTTCATCAGGTTTATCAACTTCATCAGTTTCTCAAGCTTCCCCAGTAGCCTCATCGACAATATCTCCAACGACTTCATTGTCATCCTCTTCATCAATTTCAACAGTTTCAGCAACATCATCAGTTCCAGAAAATGCAACACCAACAGTAGTTTCAGCCTCTTCATCAGCCTCTTCAGTTCCAGCGACAACTTCCGTGACATCTCCTAAAGATTCGTCGACAGAAAACGTGAAATTATCACTACTATCATCATCATCAATGACGGAAAAATTAACCAAAGACAGTAATAAACCTTCTGAAGAAAATGACCAAATTCCTCAAGGAGATGAATCTCACAAAACATCATCTATTGATACGACCGAGAGGCCAATAATTCGAGTGGATGTTACCGAATCTGGAAGCACAAAACATGGTGATGATGAAAAGAATGGAAGTACTGAATCATCAGTCATTAGGATACAGATGGCGGATGCAGTTTCGATGATCAACAACCTTCTGGAAACGGCACCAACCCAAACGACAGCCTCCTACATTTCTCTCACTCTACCAGATTTCGAAAATAGTCCATCGAATCTCATTGGAAGTGGTCTTGTTGCTGGATTCCATTCGAAAAACGAGACCAACTTCGTTCCAGTTAAACTTCAAAGTGAACCAATTCGATCCACGCCAATTCCGTTAATTAACAATGAAGGGGCAAAGAATAAAATTACTCAAACGACAAACAAAATTCAAGAGTCACATAAAACTGATTCTGACACGAAAACTAAAACTAAAGAAAGTGGAACAAAAAATACAGGGAATAAAATTAAAAACTCTGAAGAAAAGAAGGAAGATAAATTAACAGAGATAAAACTGGAAAATAGAGATGAAACTAAAAATTCAGAAGGGAAGATCAAAAATCCCGCGGAGAAAATCAAACTTGAAGAGAGAATAGAAGAGCGTGAGGACAATGTGCAAATTAGCGAAGAAATAAAAAAAGAAGTGGCAACAAAAAATACGGAGTCGATCAAAAATGAAGAAAAGATCAAAACCACTGTAAATAAAAAAGGACCTATCAAAAATACTGAACAAAATAAAGAGAAAATAACAGGCACCGAAGAAATTAAGGAGGAAAAAATTAAAAATACCCAGGAAGAGAAAAAGGGAGATAAAGTGAAGATAACCGAAGAAATGAAGAAGGGGGACAAAATCAAGAATACCGAAACGAAAATAGAAGATATAGTTAAAAATAGCGAAGAAATGAAGAAGGGGGATAAAGTCAAGAGTACTGAAGAAGCAAATAAAGAAGATAAAATCAAGAATAACGAAGAAGCGAAGGAGGACAATAAAGTCAAAAGTACTGAAGAAACGAAGGTGGAAAATAAAATCAAAAATACCGAAGAAACTAACAAGGATGAAATCAAGAATACCGAAGAACCAAAGAAAGAAAATAAGGTCAAAAATACTGAAGAAGCGAATAAGGTAAATGTTAACAGTACCGAAGTAGCGAAAAAAGAAGATAAAGTTAAGAATTCCGAAGAAGCAAACAAGGAAGATAAAGTTCAGAATACTGAAGAAGCAAATAAGGAAAACAAAGTTCAGAATACCGAAGAAATTAACAAGGAAGAAATCAAGAATACCGAAGAAGATAAAATCAAAAACACCGAAGAAGTAAAGAAAGAAGAGAAAATCAAAAACTCCGAAGAGATGAAGAAAGAAGAGAAAATCAAGAATTCCGAAGAGCTAAAGAAAGAAGATAAGATACAAACTGAAGAAGTAAAATTACAAGAGAAAATAAAGAATGATGAGGTGAAGAAAGACCAACAGATTCAAATTTCCGATAACGATAAGGAAAGTACAGATAAAGACCAAATTCCCTCGGCTAATAATAAAATTTCCACTTCATCATTACCAGCAGAAAAAATAATTGATTTGAATCTAGAAAAAACGACAGTCAATTCTGAAACGAAGACACCAACAGAGAAACCGCAACAAACATCTGAAGTGAATTTCAAAACGACGATTTCTGATAAAATTGACGTTACCACTAAAAAGAGTGTAATTGAAGAGAATGTTACTCCAACATCTGTTCCATTACTGCAGACTGCAACAATGTCAACTGTCAAGAAACCCAATTTGGAACAAACGCCAACTAAGAATACAAATTCAGAAAAAGAAAGTCTGGAAAAATTGGAGAATGCGACTAATAATGTTGTGACTAGTACTCCTAAATCGAGTATAAAAATACCAACAACGACAGCAACAAAAATGCCAACGAAAATAGTGGCGACGACAATGAAATCGAATGTAGAAAGTATTGTTACTACTTCTAAGCCTCCTGTTGTTGAACCATTGAAAGTGGCCACGCAGACTGGGAATAAAACTAGAAAACCAGAAGTGCCTGTAGTTCGAATTGATCTAAGTCCAGAAACAAATCAATTGCCATCGAAGTTTTCAGATCCAATTATTGTAAATCAACACGAGAAACTACCAAAACCAATCACTAATTTACATCACCAAGACTCTGAGACTGACAAAAAAGCGACTACCCTCAGCAATAATCATCAAATCGTCAATGATGAAAAATTAAAAAGAGTCGATACCACAACACCCGTCAGTGTTGATCAAACAAAGAAACCACCTCCCGAAAGTCAGGAATTACGAATTCAAGTAAATGACACAGCAGTAAAAGTATCAAAAATACCATCAACAATGATCATGTTAAATGAGACGAAAGTCAGTGACAACAAACAGACAATTAAAATTGACTCCTCATCGAAAATTGTCGAAACATCAAAAAACACCACACTCACTCAAACATCATCAGACGATAAGAAAATGGTTATTGTCAACACCACGCAAACGGATAAAGTACTTGAGGACATGATTCCAATCGGATTCACCGCAAAACCAATCGATCAGACCATGGAAAATGCCTACAATAAACTTGGCGAATTTATCAACACAAAACCGTTGACATCATCGAAAAAGAATGTCACTAATTTTGCTGCCAGACCGTCGAATAATGGTAATAAGGTTACAAAACCTGGAAGACCTTCGGAAGGGTCATTCAAACCGGTTGGTGAATTAAAACCTGGTTTTGAGTCTAATTCTAGACCGTCGAATCAAGCAGGAGGGGGATTAAGACCTTCGTCAGGGTTTGGTTCTTCAAGACCAGGGGAAACTGATGCATTACCAGGTCAAGTAGGTTTTGGTGGATTACGACCACCGTCGGGTTCTTTTGCTGCGAGACCAGGGGAAACTGATGCATTACCAGGTCAAGTAGGATTTGGTGGATTAAGACCATCGTCGGGTTCTTTTGCTGCGAGACCAGGACAAACGGGAGCGGTACAATCGGGACCAGGACAAACAGGAGCAGTGCAATCGGGGCCAGGACAAACAAGACCAGGGCAAATGGGACCAGCACAATCGGGACTTTCGCAGTCAGGACCTAATGGACTAAGACCATCTTCGGGATCTTCTTCAAGACCAGCACAATCAGGACCAATTCAGTCAAGACCAGCACAATCGGCACCTAGTGGAAAGCCTCAATCCGGTTCTTCTTCAAGACCATCTGGAGCTTCTCCTTCAAGACCGGTAGATGCACCCGGATCGTCACAATTTGCGCCTAATGGATTAAGACCCTCCTCTTCTTCTAGACCATCAGATACATTAGCATCACATCCATTAGCATCGCAAACATTAGCTTCGCATCCATTAGATACACCACATCTAGTAGATCAGTACTCAGGACCCAGTACTTTCAGACCACAATCAGGCTCAGTCCACTCAAGACCATCCGCAACCACAACAGCACCACAATTCTCAGCGTCAAGTGCCTTCAGACCATCGACAAATGGCAATTTAAACAACAAACCAGGCTTAGTTCCAACAAAACCAAGTTTCCCATCAAAAGGTCGGCCCACCTCTCATGAGCCATTAACCCACAAGCCAACTGAACCAACTAGAGTCAAAAAACCCGACGAGAATCTAACAGACGAAAAGTGGGCTCTCATCCCTCAGCCAAATACATCAGGAACAAAACTTCCAAAACCGGTACCAACGAAACAATCGGCAACAACAACCAACACCAAAAATCAGCATACGCATGTATCGCTGGACAGTTCCCAAAGTGCGCTTGGCCTCGATGCGAGTATCAGAAACCTGGAACCGGACGTCATTTACTTCTCGAATTTATGCAATGAATTGGCATTCAGTTTTTGGAGTGCTGCCAACAAGGGTCTTAGTACAACCCGATCTTTGGTGCTGTCACCATTCGGCATGACAAGTCTGTTAGCTATGGTCTTTCTGGGAGCACGGGGACCAACGTCGAATGAAATGAACGATGTTCTAAAACTTGACGACGTAGCAACATTCAATCCTCATTTGGTATTCCAAAACGTCACCGACACTGTCAGTCTATCAAGAAAACAGGGAATCGCAAACGCCGCCTTTGTTCGCGAACTATTCGCCGATAAATCCAAAGTCGGTAAATTGATGCCTTTCTACAAGAAGCAGGCACAACAGTTCTATGAGGGTTTCGTTGAGGAGGTGAATTTCCATGCCATCAATGACATCGTCAAACGGCGAACAAATCTTCTAATCAGAAAACAAACGGACAGTAGAATCAAGGACTTTGTCAGGACAAATACAGTAGGTTTACGACCACCATTAGCGGCACTGTCGGCGAATGTTTTCCAAACCGAGTGCGGTGGTGCTAGTTCCGAAGGACGAGATGGCGAATTGTATTTCTCAGTGTCGCCTGCTATTAGACAGCGACAATTGGTGCGCGTTCCGGCGACACTTTGGAAATCGGGTGTCCTTGCTGGTTATGAGCCAAGTTTAGACGCGACTGCAATTGCTTTGGGTGGAATTGAAAAATTGGTGTCGACAATATTTGTCATTCCTGGTCAACAAGGCCACATGGCACAGGGCGACAATTTGGATAATCTCGAGCAAAGACTGATGCGAGGCGCTCAAAATGATGGAGCCTGGGAGAAATTACTGAAAGTTTTGATACCGCGAGCATCATTGGAACTGCAGGTACCGAAATTCAGTCATCGTTCAATTGTCAATGCAACTGCCGCACTGAAACGAATGGGACTCGGTGAACTCTTCTCCAAGCATGCCGATCTCAAGGGAATCAATGGAATTGGCCACGATTTGCATTTAGCTGATGTTCTCCAGGTAATTATTCGGAAAAATACTTTGTACTCTTCTGCTGTCCGTAAGAAAATATCTCGGATAGCAGACTTTTTTGTTTAATCTGTAATTTTTCTTTTTTCATTCATAAAAATACTTTGGGTACTTCTGCTATCCAAAGTATAAAGCCTCGGATAGCAGACTTTTCTATCTAATTCGGAATTTTTCTTTTTCCATTCACAAAATAACTTTGCGTACTTCTGCTATCCAAAGTAAAAAGACAAAAATACTTTGCGTACTTCTGCTATCCAAAGTAAAAAACCTCGGATAGCAGCCTTTTATATCTAATTCGTAATTTTTCTTTTCCTATTCAGAAAAAAACTTTATGTACTTCTGTTATCCAAAGAAAAAACCTCGGATAGCAGACTTTTCTATCTAAATTCGTAATTTTTCATTTTCCATTCCCAAAAAGACTTTGCGTACTTATGCTATCCAAAAAAAACCTCGGACAGCAGACTTTTCTATTCAATCTGAAATTTTTGTTCTACCATTCACAAAAATACTTTAAATACTTTTTCTCTCCACGAATTCTAAAAAACCTTAAATTTTTTCTATTTCTGACAATAATTTATTTTAAATAACTTAATTTTATTTCAATTTAAAAATTTTTAACGCAATTCTTTCAAAGAATTCAACTATTTTAATAAATATTAAAATTCTTTCCAAAAATTCAATTATTTTCAAAAATTTTTAAAAAATTCTCGTCAACATTTTAATTATATCTATAAATAGCAAAATTCTTCACCAAAATTCAATCAATATTCAGAAATTTTTATAAAACTCATTGAAAAATTCAATTAATTTCATAAATAATAATAGTTATCACAAGAATTCAATTATTTTCAAATAAATTAAAAAAATTCTTCGCAGAAATTCAATCATTTTTAAAGAATCCAAAAAAAAATTGTCGTTAACATTTCAATTATATTTATAAATAGCAAAATTCTTCGCCAAAATTTAATTATTTTCATAAATAACAATATTCATTATTTTCAAAATAAATAAAATTCTTCGCAGAAATTCAATATTTTTCAAAGAATCCAAAAAAAAATTATCGTTAACATTTCAACTATCTTTATAATTGAATAGCAAAATTCTTCGACAAAATTAAATTATTTTCAGGAATTTTAATAAACTTCATTGCAAAATTTAATTGTTTTCATAAATAATAGTATTCGTCACAAGAATTCAATTATTTTTAAAAGTAATAAAATTCAATTAGGTATTTTCAAAAATTTTAATAAAATTTATGGCAAAATTTTAATTATTTTCAAAAATTGTTCTTAATTCAATAATTTTTAATATTCTACTATTTTAATAAAATTCCCAAAAGAATTCAATTATTTAAAAACAATTTTAACAAAGTTCTAAACGAATATTCAATTATCTTCTAAATTAATGAAAATTTCACAGGAATTCAATTATTAAAAATAGAATTTGCATACATTTTTTCGAAAAAAAATTGTTTTAAACTTTTTTATAAAATTCTTCGCAATAATTCAATTATTTTCATAAATAATAAAACTTATTGCAGAATTGAAATTATTTTTAATACAATTTTAATCGAATTCCTCAAAGAATGTAATTATTAATAAAAATTTTATTAAAATTCGTCGAAAGAATTCAATTATTTAAAAATTTGTTCCTAAAATTCTATATAAGAATTAAATTTTAAGAAACATTCATTTATTCAATAAATTATTTACATTTGTATTTAAATAGTTATTGAATTCTTGTATAATCTTCTAATAAAAATTGCTTTACAAAATAATTTGAAAGTTTTAGATTTAACTTTAGAGAAATTGATAATAATTGCAATTTTTAGAAATAATTAAATTTTGTAAAGGTTTCAAATTAAAATCTTTGAAAATTTGAATTTCTCATACTTTTAATTAATAATTCTATGGAACTAATTTTTTTTTCAAAAAGCTTATTAATAGGAGTTTTTTAAAAATATTTCAAGTTTTTATTTTCTAATGTATATTTAATTAAAGAATTTACAAAAAATCGAAATTTCGTAAAAGTGAATTGTAAACCAATGAATTTGAAAATTCTCAAAAGAACTTTATCATAAATTATTAGAATTTTATTTTAAAAAAATAATAATAATTAAATTGAAACGATAAAAGATTTAAAATAATTGATACTTGTTAATTTATTTCTTTCGAAGAATTTTGATAAAATTTTTGTAATTATTAAATTTTTTGAAGAATTTACTTGAAATTGTATTAAAAATAATTGAAATCCTGAGAAGAATTTTATTATTTAGAAAAATAATTGAAGTTTTGCAACGAACTTTTATTACATTTTTTAAAAATAATTGAATTCCTGGTGAAGAATTTTATTATTTAGGAAAATAATTGAATTCTTAAAACTAATTTTATTAAATTTTTTTTAAATTGAATTTTTTTGAGGAATTTTATCCAAAATAGTAGATTTTAAAAATATTTGAATTTCAGCATAGAATTTTATTATTTGTGAAATGTAATTGAATTCTTCCAAATAATGTTTGAAAATAATTACATTTTTGAGGAATTTATTTTAAATTGTATTAAAAATAATTTAAATCCTAGGAAAAATTTTATTATTTATGATAATAATTGAATTCTTACAACGAATTTAATTACATTTTTTTAAATAATTGAAATATGGTGAAAAATGAAATTTTGTGAAGGATTTTATTAAAAGTTTTGTAAATAATTTAATTTTCTTATTTTTGAAAAATTTTACAGAAATTGAAATTGGAACAATTAAAGAAATTCGTAAATCACTCTTCTCTCTAATTTGTAATTTTTTTCCTAAAAATTCTTCGCTTTTCTATAAAATTTCACAAAATTTATTCACAAATTTCCATTTTTAGATGAACCTATTCAGCACATGTGGCGATGAGAATATATCAATTGGCCGACATCACATGGAAACATATCCGGAACCACCGATGAGGAATTATCGGAAAATCACCGAATCTGAAGATAACAATTCCGATGAGTTGAGAGAAGATAATATTCTCTTCGAGGAATCGCTTCTAAAACCATTGGACGACGATGAATGGAGGACAGGACGAAAAAATGAAATCTCAGAAAAACCGAAACTCAAATTAGACAGGCCTTTCCTCTATTTTGTACGACACAATCCAACAGGTTTAATTTTACACATGGGAAGATTTAATCCTAGAATTACGGAAAAAACGTAATTTAAAAAATTCATTTCTTTAATTTAATCAAAAAGAGTTCAAAAATTATTTTGAACTTTTAGTTGAAAGGAACAATTTCTATATGTCGATATTTAAATAATCGTCTTTTTATATATTCTTAAAATCGATTTTATTCTTATTTAATTTCTTGATTTTGAGGAAAGAATTTAAAAAATAGGAAAATCGTTCCTTTTTATTGCAATACACAAATGTATAAAATATAAATTCTAAACAATTAATTTTTGAAAATCGATTCAATTATTTTTTTCTTAAATCTTCGAGTCGATTTTTATTTTAGGAATTTTTATTTATTCTCTCGACACGTGATCGGAACGTACATTGCACTTTTTTTTCTTCGTGCAATCTTTCTAATTACGTGACGATCTTGATTCAAAAAAAAAAAAAAAAAATGAGATTGAAGGAATGTCCAAACAAAATATTTTGAAGTCTTGTTTTTGTGTTTATATCTTCATAGTGGGAAAAGTAACATAGTACTCTATTAATTTTTGAAGCAATAATTTACCAAAATCTCGAATTTAATTATTAAAAATAAAATTAGACCCTCTTAATTATTTTTCTTAATTCATTAAATTTGAATTTCGCGCCATTATAATTCTGTAAAATTCCGTCCAGATGGCATGAAAGTTCTCTCATAAACGGTGTATAAATACCACTGACTATTAGGTATAAATTTTATTGTTGATTGAAAATTATTTTTTCTTAACATTTTTCCATAATTTTTTTTATATTTAATTTAAATTTACTTTTTCATAATATTTTTCCATAATTTTTAAATATTTTTCCATAATTTTTTTTATTTTTCCACAAAGTTTTTTCATATTTTTCCATTATTTTTATTTACATTTTTCCCTAATTTTCTTTCATATTTTTCTCTATAATTAAAATCTTTCACTATGAAAATTGATCCAATATTTAAATTTTTAATTTAACTTTTCAAATTCGAAATTTTTCGTGAATATTTTTATGCAATTAATTTTGTCATTTTTCCCACTAGAATTTATTATTTGATATAAAATTTATATAAAATGACCAAATACGTTGAAAATACTTAACTATAATTTTTTATAATTTAATTTACAGTTTTTGTGAAATATAATGATGAAAATATTTTGTTAAAAATTAAATTAATTAAATTAATTAAAAATTAAAATTCCTTTGTTTCACAAAAAAAAAATAAAAAAAAATTTCATCTTGTAAATATATATAAATAAAATTGTATTAACGAATTCTGATTTAAAGAATCGCTTCAAACTTGAACTCTTAAAGTAGAGAGAAATTTTTTATCTACTATAGACGGTTCTTTACTTAGAAGATAATTTTTACCCATTAACCATAAAGTATTAACAGTATCATTACTATATAAATATATTTACTATACGTTTACATGTGAGTATATGTGAGAGAAATGGGTTAAATCTATGTACATAAAGTGAATGATAATTATTATGTATTATTATTATTATTATTATTATTATTATTATTATTATTATTATTATTTTTTTTTTTATTTTTATTATTAGTAGTTTTATTATTATTACTATTATTATTATTATTTTTCCTTTTATTATTAATATTATTATTATTATTATTATTATTACGATTATAAAGTTAATAATAATAAATTATTATTATTATTTTTATAACTATTATATATTATAAATATATATTTTGCATATATTATTAAGACAATTTTCGTCCATTGAATGGAAATAAATTTTCTTGCAAATTGTGTGAATATGAAAAATGTATGTATAAATTGAATCACTCTCTTTTAAATGTAAATGTAAAACTCGAATGTGAAATAATGTTTATAAATTATCTTATTAATATCGAAATTATAAAAATTATTTAATAATTAATTCGTTAATTAATTTTCATATTGTCAATATTATTTCTATCAATCGTTGCCTGTATTTTCGAATTAATTTAAAATTCAATTTTCATAATATTTAAACTGAATATAAGATTAATGACAAGAAGAAATCGAATGTTAATTTGTAATTGAATTTCTACTTTTATGTTCAATTGCAATAATAATTTGTCACAATTAAATAATTTAAATCGTTTTGATATTCAACATAAAGTTAATATAAATTATTACAATTTTTAATTCTAAGTTTTAATTAGAAAATAAAAAATCAATATTATTGACGCTGAAAGAAAAAACATTTTTTAATATAAGAGACAGAATTTTTTTTTTTGCCACTTTCCTTCTTTTCTATAACATTCCATCATTATAGATAGGAATAAATAAATTATTAATTACTTATTAATAAATTAATAATAATTATTATACATTGTTCTAAGTTTAAAACGCCGTCCAGTAAATAGATATATATATGTACTTAATTCTATAAAAAAAATTTGTGCAATATTGTGGCGTAGCTTTTTTTTGCGAAAAAAGAAGAATTATTTATATTTGAGACTTAGGGGAAAAATGAGAATTTAACTATTATGTAGAATGTATCATTTAATTATTATAGTGAGATTTTTTTTTTTTAATTATAATGAAACAAAAATATATTAAATATATAAATGGTTCAGAAAATTTATATTATGTGCAATTTAAATGAAAACATTTTTTATTTTTTCTACGTCACTTTTTGCAAATTGATATGTGTACGTTTACGTTATATGTATACGAATGTACGAAGTGATTCTGAAAATAAAGAATTTCAAATATAATTGAAAATGTTTTAAAACTTTTATACTTTTTTTTTCCTTTTTTTGTAAAGGAAAAACATTTCTATTTATACTTTTATTTATTGTTGACAAATTATTTCTGAAATAAATATACTTTTGTAGAGGATGAAAATAATTTTACAAGGAAAGTAAATAATTATTCAAATAATTTGTTTTATTCCTTTTCTATTGTATTTTATTATTAACATTTTATTATATTTTTTATAAATAATTTCATTTTTATTTAATTCATTTTTTTCTCTATTAAATTAATTTAATTAGAAAGAATTAATTAATTCTTTTCTCATTTTTCTATTAATTTTCAATTATTTATGTATTCGTACAAACGGGCTTAAAAAAATTAATTAAATTTATTATAATTATTAATTAATTCCTTTTTAATTCAATTTATTTTCTTTCATTTAATTATTATTTTTTTCATTTCATGAATTATTTTTCACTAAAATTAATTTTCGTATTTATTTTGTTTGTTTATTGACATTACAGAAGTGAATTAACATTGAGAATTAAAAATAGGTGATTCGAATATAGAAATGAAACAATTGTAAATTATAAAAAGCACGTGAAATAATTTTTACAATGTTACTTAATCTTAAAATTCTCGAATCATATAAACTTATATATGACGAATGCAAGTTTACAATCGCTTTTACGGATATCATTATCAGAACAAATAAAAAAAAATTGCATACAATTTTTCAAAATCAGATTATATTTTTTTTTTAATTTCGATCAATTTTTCTTAATAGAAACATTTTTTATTGAATATTTAACATTTTTAATAATAATTGCTTTAATTATAATATGAATTAATTAAGAACTAAATTAAGACTAAAAAATAAGAAAATCAAAAAATTATATTATTTTAATCGTTTTTTAATTAAAATGAATAGAGGAATTTTTTTTATACAAAATTTTAATTAATTTTTTTATTAATTGTTTCCTTGTTTCTATTTATTTCGCGAGTGTGTCTAAATTAGAAATTATTTTTTTCTTTTATAAATATATTAATGAATCGTCACACACAACACGTATAATAATGAGTAAATATCAGATAATAAAGTGCACGGGTACTTACGTCTATATACAATAGGAAGGGGGATATCTTTATCATTTTGTTAACTTGGACTGATCGGGTGCTTCAAGTTTTGACGACCTCGAATGACTTAGTATTACTCCTTTTGATAGATTGCTTTGTTTGTTGGTTTTATTTTAAATCTTTCCTCGTTGCGAGAAAATCATTGTTAACAGAAGTCGTGCATTCTCGTGAGTGTGTCAAATGCATTTTTAAGAAGAAGAAAAAACGAAGAAATATGTGCAAAAAAGTGTAATATTACGAAAAAAAGTCTCATAAATATGTAGTAAATGAAGTAATTGAATATTTCTCTTTATTCACCCACTGGAAATTATTATTTAACAAATAATATAGTGCGCGTGTAATTTAAATTAATTAAATAGTTAAACATGCGAGTATCATCTTATACCTATCAACAGGTGAGTTTATTCGAAATTTTTATTTATAGATGAAAAAAAAAGAAAGGGTATTTTTTTTAAATTTAAAGAAAAACAATTTAGCAATTTGTGAAGAAAATTTATTTTTCGAAATATTTATTTGGAAATTATAAAGAAAAATTAGAAAAAAAAGTAATAATTAAAGGCGTAAGAAGCAAAAAAGTATAAAAAATATGAATTAAAGAAGAAGACAAAAGAAAACAAAAGAGAAAAGAAAACGAAAAATAAAATAGAAAAGAAAAGAGGAAAGAAAACAAGTAGTTACTAAAACAAAAAAGAGAAGAGAAAAGAAGAAAGAAAAGAGAAAAACAAGAAAAGAAAGAAAAAAGAATAAAAAGAGGAAATAAGAAAACAGAAAAGAAAATAAAGAAGAAACAGAAAATAAAACAAGAAATAAATGAAAAAAGAAAACAAAAAAGAGGATAGAAAAGAGAACAAAAAAGAAACCAAAAAATTAAAAGAAGACTAATTAATAAAAGCTAATTAGAAAAAACTAATAAAAAAGAAATAAACAGAAAAAAAGAATAAAAAAAAATTAAAAAGAGATGAAAAAAGAGAAAAAATCGAAGCAAAGAAAAGTTATAAAAAAGGATTTGAAAAACAAACGAAAAAGAGGAAAGAAAAAAAAACAGAGATATAAATCAAAGTGAAGTATTTTTTTTTTAAAGAAATATATGCGTGACAAAAAAGGAAAGAATTACAAAAACCAATTTTGGTTCTTTAAAAAACACGTAAAGCAACGTGAAAAAGTTTAAACAAATTTTCCTCGTATTTTTTTTCTCCTTTTTTTGAAAGTAGATAACAAAAAAAGTCAATATTTGTATATAAAATGGTATTTGGAAAGTGTTTGACTGTGCTTTTTAGATCAAAAGATGACAAAAGTCAATTTATAGATCATTGATTTATTGATTAATCTTCCATTTAATCCCAATTCAAAGGATGTATTATACATTTCTTATATGTGAAATTAATTTCTCTGAATAATTAAATAAAAAAATATATTTCAAAAAATAATTAAAAAATTAATGACTGTAATTTTTTACATTAAAATTTTTCTAAGTTATACTCTTTCATATATTTTTACTAAAACAACTAAAAATTTCTCTAATTTAGTTAAATTTTTAACTGTTCCAGATAAAATTAATTAAATTAATTAAATTAATTAAATTAATTAAATTAATTAAATTAATTAAATTAATTAAATTAATTAAATTAATTAAATTAATTAAATTAATTAAATTAATATATTAGCATTACAATTATTAAAACATTAAAGATATTTTTTAATATAATTAGATATTAATAAAAAAATTAAAATATACTGAGGAAAAGTGGAATAAAAAGGAATTTTTACTACAAAAATTAAAACAAATTTAGAAATAAATTTTAAATAAAAATTTTTAATTTAAAAAAAGAATTTTTTATCGATAACAATTGACTATGAAAAACAAAAAAAAAAGGTCCCAAAAGACAAAAACAAAAAAATTAAACAATAGAAAATAAAAAATTAATAATTGTTAAATTAAAATCAATTGAAATAGAAAAATTTATTTTTAATAGTTTTCTTCTTCGAATAAGTGTAAAATTGTGAGAAAAATGGTAACAAGCACATTTCTGTTATCTTCCTGGTAAAAATTGTATTACGTCGAAGATAACACAAACCTTATTTTTATATATACTGTTATTACCTGAAATTAACAGAATTTACAAACATTTTTAATTTTTATGAAATAAATAAAAATAAATAGAAGTAAAAATAAAATCCAAGTATATAGAGAAAAGTATAATTAAAAAAAATTATAGCAAAGAAAAATATTAAAAGTTAATATCTGAAAAGTGTCGCAATTTTACACGTGTTCTAGAAAAAGGCTTAATTTTTATAGAGAAGGAGAGAAAACCGAATTTTTTATTTATATACATTAACAATAATATTAATAATCATAGAACGAAAAGGGAGAAAACTTTTGTTCTTTTTTGTTCGTTTTGTAAATTTTGGAAATATGTTTATATCGAAGAAAGTTAGAAATTTTTGTAAATAATAATAAAATAAATAATAATTAATAATCATTTAATTATTTTTTTGGTAATCATTTATATATTTATTTATTGAACAATTATTTAATTTTAATAATAACTATCAAATAATAACCAAGTAAATAAATAAAATAATGACTGAATAATAACCAAATAACCAAAAACCAAAGAAAAATAAAAACCTAATTTTTTTATCGGAGTAAAACCCAAATAATGGCAAGTTGATAATTAAATTATAACCAAAAACCGAAAAAGTTAATAACCAAACCAAATAAATAAGAGTAACCAAATTTACCAAATAGTAACCAAATAATAACCAAATTTACCACATAATAACCAAATTTACCAAATAGAAACCAAATAATAATCAAATAGTAATTAAAAGAACCAAATAGTAATCAAAATAACCAAATAGTAAACAAAATATCCAAATAGTAAACAAAATAACCAAATAGTACACAAAATAACCAAATAGTAACCAAAATAGCCAAATAGTAACCGAATAATGAACAAATAACAACTAAAAAAATAACTAAATAATAACCGAGTAAAAGCCAAATACTCACAAATAAATAACCAAATTCTAACCAAAAACCGAACAAGAATAAATAACCAAACCAAATAATGACCAAATAACTAAAAAAATAACCAAATAATAATGAAGTAATAACCAAATAATAGTGAAGTAATAACCAAATAATGACAAATGAAGAACCGAATTCTATCCAAAAACCGAACAAGAATAAATGACCAAACCAAATAAATAATAGTAACCAAATAATGACCAAATAATAACCAATAATAATAATAATAATAATAATAATAATAATAATAATAATAATAATAATAATAATAATAATAATAATAATAATAATAATAATAATAATAATAATAATAATAATAATAATAATAATAATAATAATTGGTAAAGCTGAGGTCACACCTCTAGTGAATAAAAGGTCTCTAGAGATTAAGGATTTGGACGAAGCCACCTCAGAGGATGAGGTAACTGCAGCACTAAGAGAAAAGCTGGGTAAACCCGACCTGAAGATGGAGTGTCGACTTTTGCCGCGATACAGAGGAACTAAGGTTGCTCTGGTACGTCTGACAGAGGCAGAAAGTAACACTCTGCTAAAGCTTGGTAAAATAAAAATCGGCTGGATAAATGCTCCAATTCGCGAGCATGTTGAAGTAGCTAGGTGCCAAAAGTGCCTAGCATACGGACACTCAACCCGAACCTGCAAAGGCCCCGACAGAAGCAAAAACTGTCGGAGATGCGGCGGAGAGGGACACCTTGCGAAGAGCTGTAAAGTTAAGCCGAAGTGCCTTACATGCTTGGACCTGGGAAAGCCAGAGACGGATCACGATTCCGGAAAGAGAGCCTGCCCGGTTTACAGAGAAGAACTGCAAAAGATTAAAAGGGCAAATCCTTAAAATTTTTGCAGGTCAACTTGCATACAAGTAAGGATGCACAGTTGCTCCTAATGCAAACAGCAAGGGAAAATGAGGTCGATATCCTGTTCTGCAGTGAGCAGTATCAAGGAAGCGATCTCGCCCCTTGGTATCAGGATAAGGCGAAGAGAGCCGCCATAAAGCTGTGCAACCCAGAATTGCGGGTTGACAAGTTTCTGGAGACGAGCAGTGGGTTCGTGTGGATAGAGGTGGCTAATATACGTATGTATAGCTGCTACTTCTCACCCAACGACCCACTGACAAACTTCGAAGCCAATATCGAAGACCTAGAATCGAGCCTCACAGAATCCAGGCTGGATGTCATCATCACTGGTGATTTTAACGCAAAGTCGCCAGAGTGGGGTGAGACGAGACTCGACAAGAGAGGAATTCGTATTGGAGAAATGATCTCCAGAAACGACTTATTGGCAGTAAACCGAGGCAATACATGGACTTTTAGACGAGGTGCGATCGGATCAATTATAGATCTAACAATCGCATCGTCTAAACTATTTAGCCGCATAACCGACTGGCGGGTCTCAGAGGAATATACCGCAAGTGACCACCAGTACATTGAGTTCTCAGTCTCTATGGGAGACACACAAGGAGGAAAAAGACAGGATGCTCCTAGTCGCAAAACCTCCTCGTGGAATATGAAGAGACTCGACAAGGAAAAGTTCGGCCGGTCCCTAAGAGAAGCCCTTTTAATTGAGGACTTGGGCTGGGTGAAGAGGCCGAGCAGTCTGGATGGGGAGGTGCGAGCGGTGAGGAACATGATAGTCACCGCTTGCAATGCGTCAATGCCACGCAAAGGCGCCACTCCAGTAAGAAAATCCTTGCACTGGTGGTCAGAGGAGCTAGCCTCCTTGAGAAAGGAATGCCTCAAAGCAAGAAGGACATATACCCGATCTAAGGGAGATCCCTTGCTGAAAGAGGCTTTCAAGGAGGCGAAAAAGGACCTCAAGAAAGAGATCCGCAAGTCGCGACGCCGTAGCTGGAAGGACCTAATCGAGGAAGTCGATAAGGACCCATGGGGTCTGGCTTTTAAAATCGTAACTAAGAAATTAGTGACGAGGCAAAAGACCCCCGGCCTGGACAATCCCGATTGGGTCAGAAAGATAATAAGTTCTTTGTTTCCTCCTGCGGAGCCATACCTTAGAAGGGACTGGAGTTTTTGCAAAGTCGAAGAGGAAGAACTCTTCACACTTAGTGAACTGCAAAAAGCAGGCAAAAGATTGAAAACAGGCAAGGCGCCTGGAATCGATGGGATAAGTAACGAGATCCTAAAGTTGGTAATCGACACTTTACCCCAGATTCTGCTTCGATGCTTCAATCTTTGCCTTGAGAGAGGAGAGTTCTTCCGCGACTGGAAGCGACAGAGGTTAGTCCTCCTAAGGAAAGGTGAAAAACCTCTAGATAAGGTTTCATCGTACAGGCCTATATGCCTGCTAGATACGATGGGTAAACTTCTAGAGGATATGGTTCTGCAGAGAATGCAAAGCCACTTGACCGAAGAGAATCGTCTATCCGATCACCAATTTGGTTTCCGTAAAGGCAAGTCCACGGTTGATGCCATCCAGGCAGTTGTGGACATAGCCAAAGCAGGAAAAAACAAATTGGGACCTGGGAAAAAGAAGAGCTTCTGCGCGTTGGTAGCAATTGACATACGCAACGCGTTTAATTCCGCAAGATGGAAAGATCTCATCGAGTCGATGGAAAAGAAAAACATGCCGCCCTACTTGTTGCGGATAATGGATAATTATCTTAGCGACAGGTGGGTTATATATGAGGGAGACACCTGCACTCTCAAGGAAGAGATGCAGCGTGGGGCTCCTCAAGGCTCGAGGGTAGGTCCATTTGTATGGAATGTATCTTACGATGATTTTCTGCGAATGGATCTGCCCGAAGGTGCGGTGATCATCGGCTTTGCGGACGACGCGTTGTTCGTGTGCACTGCCGAGAGTGAGGAGGCTCTTGGGACATTGGTGAACGAATGTCTGCGACTAGCAAAAAGCTGGCTGGATACCAGAGGTCTTGAAATGGCCCTGGAAAAGACCGAGGCACTGCTGGTCACAGACAGACGTGGTTATGAGCTCCCACGAATCGTGATAGACGGATTCGAGGTCAAGTGGAGTAAACAAATTAAATACCTTGGTGTGGAGTTGGATGGAAGGTTAAACTTCCACCACCACATGGCTATGGCGTCGAATAAGGCGACCGAGTGTGCGGCTAATCTTTCACGGCTAATGCCAAATGTTGGCGGACCCCGTGAACAAAAAAGAAGACTGGTGGCGAGTGTCGCCCACGCTAAAATGCTCTATGCAGCACCAGCGTGGGCCCCATCCCTGAGGAGTAAAAGATGTGTGACCATCTGTGAAAAGATACTGTCTGCGCAGAGATCGATAACAACGCGTATCATCTCTGCATATAAGACGGTATCTACGAGTGCTGTGCAGGTCCTTGCAAGTTTCCCGCCAGCAGATCTTTTGGCGAGGGAAAGGGAAGAAATGTTTCTCTTTTCTAAAGAAAGCAGTTCCTTGAATGAGGAATTAAGACCAAGCAAGGGCCTAATCCGCAAAGAAGCGAGGCACAGGCTCATAGAAAGATGGCAAGAAAGATGGGATGGTGAGGAAAAAGGTCGATGGACTTATCGCCTTATCCCGGCACTCGCCACCTGGATAAATAGGAAACACGGTCAGGTTTCCTATTACTTGACTCAGGCGTTCACAGGTCACGGGTGTTTTAACTCGTACCTGTGTCGCTTTAAATTACGCGAGAACGAGGTGTGTGCATATTGCCAGTTCCCTGAGGACAACGCGGAGCACACCCTCTTCTCATGCAAGAAATGGGACTTGGAGAGGCGGGCCATGTTCGAAGGTGTAAACAGTCAAGTTACACCGGAGAACATGGTATCGCTGATGACCCAGTCAGAGGAGAATTGGCGGCAAGTCGAGAACTTCATAATCTCGGTTATGTCGAGGAAGGATCTCGACGGCCGCCAAAAAGCGTAATTTAAACAGCTTTTAATTTGTTTGTTTGTTTTTTTTATTAATTTATTTTGTGATTTATTTGTCCTTATACATTTTTTAATTTGTTTGTGTTTTTTATTCATCATTGTACAGTTTTATGTTTTCAATATTTTATACGCGTTTATTTTTTCTTTTTTTTATATATCCGTTTATAATTTTATCTTTTGACTTTTTACACTTAATTACACATTTGTTATTTTTAATTATTGTTGTGCTGTTAATTCCGCTTTTATATTGAAATAGTTTCAAAATTTTTAACTATTAACGCAGGATAACCGCAGAGAAAAGCAGAAAGTCGCAATAGCGACAGAGTTGGAGCGCCACCCTCGAAGGCTAAAGTCTTACGACAGTTCCGAGGGAGGGTAAAGGGCTCCAGAAGAAGGGTTACGGGTTTTAGTGGGTAGGGCTGGCAGTAGGTCGCCAGTTTATTAAATTTACATTTATTTTTCTTTTTTTTAATTGTCATACCAACCCCACATAACCTTGGAGTGCGGAATCCAGGGTATCTGTAAGCAGATTTCCCAAAAGTCCCTAAGCAAAAAAAAAAAAAAAAAAAAAAAAATAATAATAATAATAATAATAATAATAATAATAATAATAATAATAATAATAATAATAATAATAATAATAATAATAATAATAATAATAATAATAATAATAATAATAATAGCCATATAAAAACCAAATAAGAACCAAATAAGAACCAGATAAGAACCAAATAATAACCTAATCATAACCAAATAAGAAGAAAATAAGAATCAAATATTAAACCAAATAATGACCAAATAACTAAAAAATAACCAAATGATAATCGAGTAATAACCAAATAAATTAAATAAACAATCAAAAATTAACTCAATAAAACCAATTAATAACCAAATAACAAAAAACCAAACGAAAATAAGTAATAAACGAATAAATAAAAAATACAAAGTAATTCTGATTATAATAAGTATTGCAATAATAATGATAGTAATGATAATAGTAGCAATAATAGTACCTAATAATAGTGTACTAATGATAAGAACAAAAAACCAATTTCCCAATAACGAAACAATAATGGAAAAATAATAATTTTTTAAAATAGAAAATTTAAAAATAAAATAAATAAATTATAATTGAAAATTAATGTGAAAAATTTAATTTTTCGATAGAAATAAAGAAAAATAAAAATAATAGTATAATAAATTTAATTAATTTTTAAATTAAGATCATTAAACTTGTCTGTCTTTGATTAACCTGATTAGCGCAGAATTATTGAATTTTATGAGGGAAAAAAAATGATCGTCGCCCTTTTTTATTAATTTTTTTTCTTCTTTTTTTTGTTAGACAAATATAATTTGTCTGTTTTTCTTTCTCACTCTTTTTCTCGCTCTCTTGTCTTTTTTAATAAGACGCATAAATACAAAATGTATGACTTTTATTGTCTTTGAATTCTCTCTCTCTCCCTTTGATTGTGGTTAAAAAAAGATAAGTCTTCATTATTAATGATAAGATAGTTGGATGTCAAGATAAACGTAATATTGTACACGATTATTCCTTATTTTGCGCGCGCGTTCTCGCGCATTCAAAAGAAGAATATATTTTCAATGCAATTTTTGCTTGTGTGCGACATTGTATTGTAGAAAAGTTTTTTTTTTTTTACTTAAAAATTTTTTTTTGATCTTTCGCTATTATAGTATAATTTTAGTTGATAATTTTTTTTTTCTTTTTGAACTTTTTTTATATTTTTTTTTTTTTGGGTAAAATTTTTGTAAAAGAAAATTATTGTCGAATGCGTTTGACGACGAATTTTATTTCAATGGAATGGTTGAACAGTCACATTGCATTATCGGAAAGAGATCTTCAAAGTTTAAAAACAGTAGGTTTTCACAAAACAAAAAATTATTTTTAAAAAAATTGAAAAATATAAAAAATTATTATTATGGTTTCTTTTTTATTTTTCTTTATTTTACGCTTTGAAAATTTTAATTCATAAATAGAATATATTTTGATTTGAATTCGAGAAGTGATAAATTTAAAAAAAATTTTATTCTGTAATTTTTTATTTCTACTGTAAAAATTAAATTTTGAGTGGTTTAAAGAAAAATTATTTAGTTTAAATTGTTAACAAAAATAAATTAATAAATTAAAATTAACGAAAGCAGCAAATAAAAAAATTATTCATTTCGTTTTAGTCCACTCTAAAATGTTAAATTATAGATTTTTTTTATCCCTTTATATAATTCTAAATAAAATATAAATTTAAAAAAAAATTGAAGAATTAAAGTACCAAAAAAATAAAAATTGCAAATTACTAAAAATATAAAAAATGAAAAGTAGAAATTAAAAATTCAGAGTAACAAAATTAAAAGTGATGGTAATAAAAATAGTAAGTGAAGAAAAAACGAAAAGAACATAGGAATAAAAAATAAAAGGTATAAAAATATTAAAAGTAATAGTAATAAAAATAATAAAATTAGAAATAATAAAAATAGTCAAAATAATGAAATTGAAAACATTAGATATAAAAATAGTGAAATTAAAATTTATAAATTTAAAACAAAAATATTTAAATAATTATAATAATAGAAAAAGAATAATAATAATAATTAGTGAAGTGCAAAATAGGTGAACCGTATGAACATTCAACGATTCGTTTCTTTTTCAGAAACGTTGAATTATGCGGGGATCCATTATCGGTATTGCAACTTTCTTGCGACGCGATGGATGATACACTCAACACTTTCCACGACAGAGTACGTTTAACAGAAAAATGATCGATTTTCTAAAATTCATTGCTTCATTCAATCAAAATTTGAATATCAGAAAATTTCTAATTTTACTTTTGGAAATCAGTGGTAAAAGTCATTTTCAGTCAGACTCACAAGATTTCGTTTTTATTTTCATTCTATAAACAATATTATTACTTTTTCAATAGTATCCACTCTTTTCATTTTTTTGTGAATAATAAAAATGTTTTCTTTTTTCGTAATTTTTAGTACCAGTAGTAAAAGTCATTTTCAGTCAGACTTACATGATTTCGTTTTTATATTCATTCTATAAACAATAATATTACAATAGTTTTCACTCTAGTCATTTTTTTGTGACTAGTAAAAATGTTTTCTTTTTCGTAATTTTTAGTACCAGTAGTAAAAGTCATTTTTGGTCAGACTCACGAGCTTTCGTTTTTATTTTCATTCTATAAACAATAATATCACAATAGTTTCCACACTTGTCATTTTTCGCGACTAGTAAAAATGTTTTCTTTGCTGTAATTTTTAGTACCAGTAGTAAAAGTCAATTTCAGTCAGACTCAGCAGATTTTTTTTTTAATTTCATCCGAAACAATAATAACTTCTTCAATTTATTTCATTTCCTCTAGTAATTTTTGGAATAGCAGAGTACTAAAATCGCTTTCATTCTTCTTATTTTTAGTACCAGTAGTAAAAGTCATTTTCAGTCAGACGATTCATTTTTATTTTCAATCTGAACGATAATTCGTTTTGCCATCGTTTTTATTTCGCTTGTAATTTTTAGTAGCAGAGTATATAGTGAAATTGTTTCCTTTTTTTGTAATTTTTAGCAGCTAAGTAGAAAAGATAATTTTCAGTCAGACTACCAGATTTTAATTTTACTTTCATTGTAAACAAAAATATTTTTTAAATCTTTTTCACTCTAGTAATTTTTATCGAATGGTAAAAATGTTTTTATTATTGTATTTTTAAGTAGCAACGTAATAAAATCATTTTTATTCATGTAATTTTTAGCATTTAAGTAGTAAAAGTAATTTCCAGTCAGACGACATTGATCTCTTATAATTTTGCTAAAATTCAACAGTCAATTTTTATTCAAACTTAGTTCAGCTGTTTTTTGGTAATTTTTTCAGAAAAATTTTTATTCAAACTTAATTTAGTTGTTTTTTAGTCATTTTTTTGGAAATCAGTAGTAAACTGTACATTTAGTTAGACTGAATCTTCCAGCGATTTTTTTTTAGTTTTAGTAGTAAAAGCCACGTTTATTCAGACAGCGTTGAAAATTAAAATAAATTTTATATTATTATATTGTTTACTACTAATGTTAAAATTAAATTAAATTAATTTTTTTTTCAGTAGAAAATTCCATTTTCACTCGGACATTCTAAGTTTTTTTTTTTTATTTAATTGAGTTAGTAATTCTTTTTAACTTGAACAAATAAAACAATTAACTGAATGAAAGCTTTAATTTTCTTTGTAAGCAATGAAAAATTATTGTAAAAATTATTATAAGAAAAATAGTGTAAAAAATATTATAGAAAAACAGTGTAAAAATTATTATAGAAAAAATCATATAAAAATTAATATTACGAAAAATAAAATTTTTTATATAAAAAAAAATTATAAAAATACTATTATTTCTACAATTATAAAAATAATTGAAAAAAAACAATTTTTTTTTTAATTAAAGGACACGGACTGCACGAGTCGATCTCTGGCGACACTTTTAGTAGCATGGGTCGGAGCAGCGATGGTAGCATCAGTATTACTGCGATGGAAGTATATGTGGATTGCCCTGGCAATATTAACGTTATTATTTCTCATTGCTTGTGGATATGCGGCGTGCAATGCTCGAAGCGCACATCAGAGGATAGCCTGCAGGAGTAATAGACCAATTGTCAGGAGACGCTCAATAGAAAATGTTCAAACAGTTTCCAGGATAGTCGATGGAAATTATGTGCGTCTTTATACATTTCTTTTCAATTTCAATTCTATTCTCGAATCATTCTATTATTTAAAGTGGAAAAAATATGTTATTGTCAGGCAATTCTTTTTTAAATTGAAAATAATTCATATATATTTTTTTAAGTTTTTTTTTATTTTTTAGTAGAAAGAATGGTTCTTTTCGGAAAATTTTGTTTCGTTTTAAAGTCGATAAAGATTTTCTGGAGAGACGAATATTTTTATTCAGTAGAAAAAGAATTACTGGTCAGACAGAGTTTTTTATTCAGTAGAACAAGAATTATTAGCCAGACGAATTTTTCTATTCAATAAAAAGAACTTTTTATCATACAATTTTTTATTTTTAAAGTTGAAAAAAATTACAGGGCAGACGAATTTTTATAATTAATATAGAAAGAGAATATATTGTCAGACAATTTTTTCATTTAGAAGAAAAAGAATTTCTGGTCAGACGAATATATTTATTCATCAAATAAAGAATTATTGGTCAGAAGAATTTTTTTATTCAGTAGAAGGAAAATTTATTGTTAGACAATTTTATATATTTACAGTAGAAAAAGAATTACTTGGAAAACGAATTTTTTTATTTAGTAGAAATAGAATTACTGGTCAGACGGAATTTTTTATTCAGTAAAAAAAGTTATTAGTGATGAGACGAATTTTTTTATTCAGTAGAAAGGGAATTTATTGTCAGACAATTTTTTTATTTTTACAGTGGAAACAAAATTACTGAGAAGACGAATTTTCTGATTCAGTAGAACAAAAATTTTCCACTCAGACGAATTTTCTATTCGGTAAAAACAGAATTTTTTGTGAGACAATTTTTTATAGTAACAGTAGAAATAGAATTAATATTCAGATTGAATTTTATTTAGTAGAAAAAGAATTCCTGGTCAGACTAATTTTTTTACTTCAGTAGAAAGAGAATTTATTGTCAGACAATTTTTTTAATTAGTAGAAAATGAATTACTGGGCAGACGAATTTTTTTTTTCAGTAGAAAGAGAATTTATGGTCAGACAATTTTATATATTTACAGTAGAAAAAGAATTACTTGGCAAACGAATTTTTTTGATTAGTAGAAAGAGAATAATTACTTGTCAGACGAATCTCTTTATTCAGTAGAAAAAAAATTATTGGGCAGACGAATTTTTTTATTCAGTAGAAAGAGAAATTATTGACACAATTTTTTTATTTTTACAGTGGAAACAAAATTACTGAGAAGACGAATTTTCTGATTCAGTAAAACAAAAATTTCCCACTTAGACGAATTTTCTATTTGGTAAAAACAGAATTTTTTGTGAGACAATTTTTTATAGTAACAGTAGAAATAGAATTAATAGTCAGATTGAATTTTAATTAGTAGAACAAGAATTACTGGTCAGACTAATTTTTTTACTTCAGTAGAAGGAGAATTTATTGTCAGACAATTTTTTTAATTAGTAGAAAAAGAATTACTTGGCAAACGAATTTTTTTGATTAGTAGAAAGAGAATTACTTGTCAGACGAATCTCTTTATTCAGTAGAAAAAAAGTTATTGGGCAGACGAATTTTTTTATTCAGTAGAAAGAGAAATTATTGACAGACAATTTTTTGAGTTTACAGTAAAAAATGATTACTGGGCAGACGAGTTTTTCTATTCAGTAGAAAGAGAATTTATTGTCAGACATATTTTTCTTTTCAGTAAAAGAAAGAATTTAATTTATAATAAATAATAAACAAGACCTTTTTTAATTTGAAATTTTTTGCTCATGACGAACTATTCATATTTTTTGTACAGTTACAAATTTTTAAAAGGACACATATTTTTTTTCTCATCAATTACTCATAATTACGGTAAATTACTGTCATTAAGTAGCGTTGATTTTTACAGCAATTATCGCAGTCTCATGTCCTTATATTCAATACTCTTAAGAATTACATCAACTCTAATTGTATTAATCACCAACATTTTATTAAGGCCATTATTTTCTGTGCCCGTTACTTCTCATTTCAACAATGATAATTATTTATCCATTTCTATTTTACATTTTCTATTTCCTTAAAAACAATTAATCTGACAATTTTACTTTTTTGTTTTTAAGTCTTCTTTTTTAAATAAATATTTAATTATTATTATTTTTCACAGGAATTAAAGACATTCAAAAATTTCAAATTCAAAACTTTTGAAAATTAAACAACTTACAATAATTATTAAAGATGATGACTGAGTAATGAAATCATTATTTAATATTATAAAAATATTGTTATTGTAACATCTTCAAAATTATTTTCATCATTTCAATTCAATTATTATTTTCTAGAATTTTTAATTATTATTTATGAAAATCATAGAATTCCTAAATTTATTATTTGTGAAAATAATTGAATTTTTGAGAAGAAATTAATAAAAAATTTGTAAATGTAATTGAATTCATGTGAAATTTTTATTATTTATAAAAAGGATTAAATCTTTGCGTACAATTTAATTAAATTTTTTTTTAAATTCAATTATTTCTTGGAAAATCTAAATAAAAATAGTAGATATTGATTATCATTGAATTGAGAAATTTTTTTTAAAATAATTGAAATTAGGACAAGAATTTTATTGATATTTTTGAAAATAATTGAACTTTGGGAAAAAATTTTGTTATTTATCAAGATAATTGGAATTTTGACGAGAATTTTCCAAAACTTTTGAACATAATTAAATTTTGCGAGAAGAATTTTTATTAATTTTGAAAATAATTTCACTTTTGCAATTATATTTTTAACTTATCCAAAATTGAATTTTTTTAAGTGTCTTCAACAAAAATTTGAATTAAAAATGTTTAAATTCTATTATTTCAAAAATTTCCATCATTTCAATTCAATTATTATTTTCTGGAATTTTTAATTATTATTTATGAAAATAATTGAATTTCTAAATTTATTATTTGTAAAAATAATTGAATTCCTAAATTTATTATTTGTGAAAATAATTGAATTTCTAAATTTATTATTTGTAAAAATAATTGAATTTCTAAATTTATTATTTGTAAAAATAATTGAATTCCTAAATTTATTATTTGTGAAAATAATTGAATTATTGAGAAGAAATTTATAAAAAAATTTTTAAATATAATTGACTTCATGTGAAATTGTTATTATTCATAAAAAGGATTAAATCTTTGCGTATAATTTTATTAAAATTTTTTTTTTTAATTCAATTTTTTTTTTGGGAAATTTTATAAAAATTGTAGATATTGAATATCATTGAAATGAGAAAATTTTTGAAAATAATTGAAATTAGGACAAGAATTTTATTGATATTTTTGAAAATCATTGAACTTTGGGGAAGAATTTTTATTAATTTTGAAAATAATTTCATTTTTGCAATTATATTTTTAACTTATCTAAAATTGAATTTTTTTAGTGTCTTAAACAAAAATTTGAATTAAAAATAATTAAATTCTATTATTTTAAAAATTTTCATCATTTCAATGCAATTATTATTTTCTGGAATTTTTATTTATTATTTATGAAAATAATTGAATTCCTAAATTTATTATTTGTGAAAATAATTGAATTATTGAGAAGAAATTTATAAAAAAATTCTTAAATATAATTGAATTCATGTGAAATTTTTATTATTTTTAAAAATAATTAAATGTTTGCGTATAATTTTATTAAAAATTTTTTAAAATTTAATTATTTTTTGTGAAATTTTATAAAAATAGTAGATATTGAATATCATTTAAATGAGAAAAATTTTTGAAAATAATTGAAATTAGAACAAGAATTTTATTGATATTTTTTAAAACAATTGAATTTGAATTTTGTTATTTTAACAAGATAATTGGATTTTTGACGAGAATTTTTTAAAAATTTTGAACATAATTAAAATTTTGTGAGTAGAATTTTATTACTTTGGAAAATAATTGAATTTCTGCAATTATATTTGTAACTTCTCTAAAATTCAATTTTTCTTAGTGTTTTTAACAAAAATTAAAATTAAAAATTTTTAATTTCTAATTTTTATAATAAAATTGCTAATTTTATTTAAAAAAGTCAGCATAAGAAGTTAGCTGCGCGCTTCAGCGCGCAAATTATTGCCAGTTTATAAGAAAATTAATTTCTTTTTTCTCTGATTTGCAGGTAGTCGATCCGCCGGCCTATCAAACATTTTGGATAACGGATTTACCGCCGTCGTATTCGGCAGTAATTAGAGCGCAGCCACCAAATTATCATTTGACTTCAGTCGATGAATTTGCCATTGGTCCAAGATTATCGAATCCTCCTCCCTACACAATGGTAATTCAATCTGATGTCCTGAATACGTCAAATGGTCAACCAACAAATCGTACACAGGAGGCACATCTGTCGAGTTTCCCAGCAGGCATAAATCAACAATCTCGCGGTGAACCCTGGCCACAGAACACATTTGGTCAAAATAATAATAATAATAATAATAACAGTAATATAGTAAGGAGACAATCATTTTCTGAAATTTCCCAAATAAACGAGGACAAGGAACCAAAAGAGAGACGACGCTCGCGCTCAATTGGAACGCATTATTTCAGCAATATTATTATTAATTGTACATTTTCCAGAAACGAGAGAAGGACAAATGACGAGCATATTAATCATACTCCGACAATAGAACAAAGGGTTGATTCCAATCAGAATCATTCTTCGAGCACTAATGATAATAGTGAATCAAAGGTGATTGGATTTTTATAGAAAAAAAAAGAAAATTTTTAGAAAAAGAATTTATTTTTGGAATAATATTCATAAATTTCTTATTTTTTTTTGCTATTAAATTGACAATTAATTTTAAATACTTTATGTTCATTGGAGAATAAAAAAAATAAAATAATTATATTAAAAAAATAAATAAAAGGAACAAATACAATTTTTTGAAAATATATTTTGTTAACTTTAAATAGTTATTGGCCTAATGGCTAACGCCATTAAACCAAATAATATTTAAAGATCTTTTATTTAATTAAATTATTATTAAATATATTACAATATAATTGACGCTAAAATTAAAAATTTTAGAAAAAATAAAATAAATAAATAATGAAACCTAAATAGAATAATCAATATTAGGAAAACAAATAAAAGTTTGCTTTTGCTAAAAAGGAAATAATATTCTTTGTCTTAATTATAATTATTTAATGAATTATATTATAATTTTCGCACTAAAATTCAAAATTTTTTACACAAAAATAAAAATTTATTGACAAAATAAAATAGATAAAAAAAAAAATAAAAAATAGATGCAATAATATTTGAAAATAAATAAAACATAAATTAAACAAGTTTTTAGAATATATTTTTGAATTTATCAATGATAATACTTCTATTTTTTTCTATTGATTTTCTGATTTTAATGACAGAAAATTTATGGAACTAATATTGTTTGTCTTAATTATAATTATTCAATGTATTATAAATATAATATAATTTTGTCAACTAAAATTGAAATTTTGGCATTAAAATTTGAAATTTTTGTCACTAAAATTAAAATTTATAAACAAAATAAAATAAATAAAAAAGGAAATAAAAAATATATGCAATAATATTTGAAAATAAATAAAACATAAATTAAACAAGTTTTTTAGAATATTTTTAAAATTTATGAAATAGTATTGTTTGTCCTAATTATAATTATTCAATGTATTATATTATAATTTTTGCAACTAAAATTGAAATTTTTGATACTATAAAATTAAAATTTATAGACAAAATTGAAATTTTTGACACTAAAATTAAAATTTATGGACAAAATAAAAATAGATACAAAAAGGAAATAAGAAAAATATGCACTAATATTTGAAAATAAATAAAACATAAATTAAACAAGTTTTTAAAATATTTTTTTAATTTATTTAATGAGTTTGCTATTGAAATTAAATTAAAAAAGAAAGAAGAACAAAAATTTAGTAAAATTTTAATTCTGAATTTATCAATGAGAAAATATCTATTTTTTTTATTGATTTTCTGATGACAAGAAATTTATAATTTTTTATCGCATGCAAAAAAAAACAGAATAGAATAAAGTTTACTATTATTTTACTCTCTTATTTTAAAATTCAATAGTTCAATAGTTCATTAATAATAAAGATTAATAAAAAAAATTGTTTGTTTCAGATTTGAACCTTCAAATTAACGACGAGAGCAGTATCGTCATAATGATTAGCAGAAAAATTGTTATAAAAATATCTATTTTATAAATAAGATATAAGTTGTAAATATAATTGATTTGTTCATAATTTTGCGAACGCATCAAAAAGGAGAGGAAAAAAATACTATTTTTCGAAAGAATAAAAAATACAATAATTATGTTTATTGTTATTATTATTATTATTATTATAATTTTTTTTATTTTTATTATATAATTACATCCATTAATATTATTTTTAATATTATTAAAATTATTCATATATTGTTTTTCTATTATGAAAATTATTTTTATTTGTTTATTAGTAAAATTGTTCTTTTTTGTTTATTATTAAAATTGTTCTTTTTACAGTTATTATTATCATAATTATTATTGTCATTAATATTATAATATTATCTTTCGAAAAATTTTTATTGTTTTATAGATTAAATGAAAAATGATGAGTCAGGAAATGTTTTTCTATTTATTTTTGCACGATTTTGAAACAAAAATTTCAATTAGAAAAAATATTTTTCTTGGATGTGAATACTCTTTATTTTATTATATTGTCTTAATTTAATAGTTTAATAAGCGTCGTTAAAAAATATGTTTACAGATTGTGTAGAAGTTACGAAATTTTATGTACATTAAGTGAAAATTAAAATCCAATCGAAACGACGAATAATAAAATTATTGAGTTTTTCTTATTAAAAAGCAAAATAAAGTTTTAATTTTTTAGATATTTAGCGTAATTTGTTTTAAAATCAACCCTTTTTACATACACTCTTTTATATTACCTGCTTAAATTTTATTTTTTATTCAGAATAAAATTAAAAAATTTTTATTCGTAAAAAATAAAAATAAATAAATTGTTACCTTTTTATAATTAAAAATGAATAAATTTAAATTTTTTTTATAATTAAAAATGAATAAATTTTTCTTTTTTCACAATTAAAAATTAATAAATTAATAAATTAATTAACTGATCAATAAAAATATAATGCCAGTGTCAATTAAATTATAGAATAAAAAGAATGTAATATATTACATTACATTATTATAAATCCAATAAACGTTGTTACATAAATTATGTAATTCTCAAATTGGTTCAAGTTTGGGCCGCAGGCAAGAATACCAATAGATCAATTTATCTTATTTGAGATTTTCAGCTCTTGACTTTCACCATATGCCCGGAAATTGTATAATATGTATAACGTTGCTTTAAAATTCTGGCACATTTGATCCACAAATGATTTATGCAAACATATATACAAAGTTCTCATGAATATTTATTATCAATCTTCATCTATAGGTATAGAAAAAATTTACATATATTTTTTTTACATAAAGAAAAGATTATTATCATAAGTGGTGTGTGAAATGATTTTTTATACTGCTAAATCTCATTTGCGATTGTACCTATCAGACATTCTTTTTTGCCAACGAAACAAAAAAAAACATAGCGACAATTTTTTTTATAAGTAGAAAAGAATATAATAGTCAGACAATATTTAATTTTTACTAGTTTTAATGCGAATTTTTAAGTTTTAATTCTGTTTTTTCACTATAGAGAGAGAGAGTATTCTATAGAAAGAAGGAAAAAAATAAAATTATACACATTTAGTAGAAAATTCTTGTATAGTCAGACAATAGGCAATTTTTTCTATTAAAAAAAAATTATCTTTTTATTGCAATGTAAAAAAGGAAAGAATTAAAAAAATATATATTTAGTGAAAAATTCTTTTATGGTCAGACATTGAGGTGAATAATATAAATGTTTAGTAAATAATTGTATTATAGTCAGAAATTTTTTTTTTATTTTAAAGTAGATAATTCTTTAACAGTTAGACAGTATTGAATATTTACTGGTGGAAAACATTTATTTTTTACTATAAAAAGAAAAAAAATTAAATTTTACCTACAAAGTACAAAATTTTCTTATTGTCAGATATTTTTCTGATTTTACAGTAGAAAAAAATTTTAAAGTCAGACAACATTCAATTTTTTCTATTACAAAACTTTTTCCTTTTCTTGCAATGTAAAAAAAGGAAAAAAATTAAATCATTCATATTTAGTAGAAAATTCTTTCATTGTCAGACATTTTTTTTCTATATTAAAGTAGATAATTCTTTAATAGTCAGACAGTATTTAATATTTACTTTTGGAAAACATTCGTTTTTTTACTATAAAAAAGGAAGAATTAAATTTTACATAAAAAGTACAAAAGTCTCCTGTTGTTAGATTATTTTTTTATTTTACAGTAGAAAAAGATTTCACAGTCAGACAATAATCATTTTTTTCTATTAGAAAAGTAATTATTATTCTTTTCTTGCAGTGTTAAAAAAAGGAAAAAAAAATCATAAATATTAAGTAGAAAATTCTTTCATTGACAGACATTTTTAATTATTTAAGTAGATGACGATTTTACAGTCAGACAATATTAATGTTCACAGTAGAACAATTAATTGCTACAGTACTATTCCTTCCTTTACAATAGAAAAAGAAAGTAAAATAAAAAATACTTTTCTTTTTTTAAGTTGAAAATAACTTTAATTAGCAAACATTTTTGTTAAAAAGTAGAAAAATTTAAGAATTTTTTTTTTTTTAGTAAACCTACAGTAAAAAAAATCTGGTTACAATCAGAGATTTTATGTCATCGTTAAAAAAATATAAAACAATTAAAATTAAATCATATCTATTTAGTGGAAAAATCTTTTATTGTCAGACATTGAGGTAAATAATATAAATCTTTAGTAAACAATTTTATTATTGTCAGACATTTTTTTCAGCTATTAGTAATTCATATATTTTTACACTTTTTTTATAGTTTTTAGTAGATAAAATAAAAAAAAAAAAGTGAATTTTTTTTTCCATAGTAGAAAAAGCATTTCTGGTAGGACAATTTTTCATGGAGTAGAAAAAGAATTTATTTTCAAATAATTTGTTACATTTACAGTATGTTAAATATTAAAATAAATAATTCATAATTAATAGAAAATCTTTTCATTGTAAGACATTTTTTTATTTTACAGTAGAAGAGAATGTTACAGCCAGACAATGATAATGTTTACGTAATAGTCAGACAATATTTATTTTTTACAAGTTTTACTGCGAGTTTTTAATTTTTAACTCCTTTTTTCAATATAGAAAGAGAGAGAAAAATAAAATTAATGATATTTAGTAGGAAATTCGGTCATAGTCAGACAGCAGTCAATTTTTCCTATTTAAAAACTAATTATTATCTCTTGTTGCAGTGTAAAAAAAGAAAAAAATTTTAAAATACATATTTAGTGGAAAATTCTTTCATTGTCAGACATTGAGGTAAATAAGGTAAATGTTTTCCAAAAAATTCTATTATTCTCAGACAATTTTTTAAATGTAAGTAATTCATATATTTTTACACTTTTTTTAATGTTTCTTAGTAGAAAAATTGTTATTGAATGTGGATTTTTTTTGTTCTACAGTAGAAAAACCATTTCTAGTCTGACAATTTTTTATGCAGTAGAAAGAGAATTTATTTTCAAATAATTTTTTATTTTTACAGTATATCAAACATGAAATTAAATAATTCATAATTAGTAGAAAATTCCATTATTGACATACTTTTTTTTTATTCTAAAGTAGAAAAAGAATTTTCAGTCAGACAATATTAACTGTTCATTGCAAAACAATTAATTGCTTTAGAACTATTTTTTTCCCTTAAAATAGAAAAAGAAAAGAAAATTAAAAATATTTTTATTTTTTTAAATTGAGAATAACTATAATTAACAATAATTTGTATTTTATAGTAGAAAAAGTTTGGTATTGTCAGACATTTTTTAATTTACAGTAATAAAATATAGTTACAATCAGCATTTTTTTGCTATTTTGTATTAAAAAACACAGACAATACATTTTTTATTCTGCAGTAGATAACTCTCATATTGTCAGACATTTTATAGCTTATAAAATATAAATATTTAGTAGAAAATTGTTTTATTGTCAGACTATTATTTTTTTTATTGAAAATAATTCATATATTTTTAAACATTCTTATTTTTTTACTAGAAAAAATAGTTATTGAAGGTGAACTTTTTTGTTATTTAGTAGAAAAATAATTTCTGGTAGGACAGTTTTTTAATTCAGTAGAAAGAGAATTTATTTTCAGACAATTTTTGCATGTACAGTGGAAAAATAATTTACTATCAGACTCTTTCAGTAGAAAGAGAATTTATTGTCAAAAAATTTTTTCTCTCTAGTAGAAAGAAAATTTATTGTCAGACAATTTTTACTTTGAAAGAAAAAAACTATTGTCAGACAATTTTTTATTTTTCAGTAGAAAATTCTGTGATAACCAGACAATAAAAAAGTAGTAAAATCCTTTTTTTACATTTCTATGCCTAGTAGAAAAAGAAATTTTTTTTTCAGTAGAAAATTCTTTAATAGCCAGACAATAAAAAAGTATAAAAATCCTTTTTTTACATTTTACATTTCTAGTAGAAAAAGACATTTTGTTCCGTTTAAGTAGAAAAATAAGTTATCGTCAGACATTTGCAAGAAAAAGTCGTTAAAAATAATCAAATAAAAATCTTGAGAAAATTAATTAAAAATACAAAAAAATACAAAAGTATAGGAAAAGCAGAAAATCTCACTGTTTTTCCTCATCATTTTCTCTGATCCATTTTTAAACCAAATGAAAATAACGTGTAAATTTCCGAATGACATAAAATAAAAAAGGAATTTCTGCATCGAATCGACAATAATAAATACCATTTTCATTCATCTCTATTATCAAATGAATCATAAAAATAATGTGAAAAAAATTCATATTATACGTTTATTGTGCCTTAAAAAGGTACCGACGACAGTGATGAAAAAAAAAAATTTTTAATCGTGTCCATATAGGAACATGTATACTCCTGCAGTATATTCATTTTCAAACAACGAGGCTATTCGTCACTTAATGTCAATCTGTCTTTATTTCCTCGTAAAGTCTATTTCGTTCTTGCACACTCAATTTCAATCCTATTCGATAACTTCATGATTCTTTCGTCGAGGAAAAAAAATGCAATTTTCAATTAAAAGAAAAAAAAAATATTTCCGTTACAAATATTTTTATTTGTCGACCAATTACTTATAATAAGAAATTGAATTTTTTTACTTCTGTGTCGCATGGTAAAAAAGAAGAATTGAAACATTTAGTGTAGCAAATTTAATTTCTATTATGTGATAAGATTAATTAAATAAATAGTATAATAAAGTATTAATGGTATTATTAAGTAATATAAATTGTTATTAAGTTATTAAGTACAGTTTTTTTTTTTTTTTTTTTTGAAAAACTATTCTTTTGACTCTTTTAATAGGATTTGTGTAACAATCTAAATATATATATAATACAAGAGGACAATTTCCTCAGCGCACTTGGTTTTATAAATTGTGAAATGAGACCCTGGGGCTTATAAACATTATTCTTCTTAGTTTTCTTGCAATAGGGCAAAAATAACGTTCTTGGCAGCCCTGTCATGTGTAATAACGGTTGATTTCACTCAAAGCTGCAATTACAATGAGAGAATTCTTGTTTCTAATAGTTTTTTTCATATCAATAAGATGGGTTTAATCCAAAATAGGAGATTCTTTAAGATTTCGAATATAAAATATTGACTAATGATAGTCTGACTATATTAGCTTTTTCTACTGCAAATGAAAAAAAAAATTATTTTTATTTCTTTTACAAAAGAATGACGAAATCAAGAGAAATATATTTTTTGCAATGTCTGACAATGACAGAATTTTCTACTGAATGTACAATTATTTTATTTAATTTCTGTCATACTGTAAATATAAAAAGTTGTCAGAGAATAATTCCTTTTTCTACTGTAAACGCTAAAATTGTCAGACAATAAATTCTCTTTCTACTAAAAATAAAAAAAAGTGGCTGACCATAAATTATTTTTTCACTGAAAATTGAAAAATTGTCTGACAATAAATTCTCTTTCTACTGCATAAAGAAAACTGCCCGACCAGAAATGATTTTTCTACTAAAAGACAAAAAAGTTCACCTTCAATAATTATATTTTCTAGTAAAAAATTTAAAGAATGTTTAAAAATATATGAATTATTTTCAATTAAAAAAATAATAGTCTGACAATAAAACAATTTTCTACTAAATATTTATAATTTATAAGCTATAATTGTCTGACAATAAAAGAATTATCTACTGCAGAATAAAAAATGTATTATCTCTGTTTTTAATACAATGACAAAAAGTTGCTGATTGTAACTAGATTTTATTATTGTAATTCAAAAAATGTCTGACTATACTAAACTTTTTCTACTTTTTAACAAAAATGTTTGTTAGTTAAAGTCATTCTCAACTAAAAAAAAAGAATAGTATTTTTGATTTAACTTTCTTTTTCTATAGTTTAAAAGCAAAAAATAGTTCTAAAGCAAATAATTGTTCTGCAATGAAAATTAACATTGTCTGACTATAAATTCTTTATCTACTTAAAAATAAAAAATGTCTGACAATAACGAAATTTTCTACTAATTATTAATTATTTACTTTAGTGTTGAACAGACTGTAAATGTAACAAATTAATTGAAAATAAATTCTCTTTCTACTGCATAAAAAACTTTACGACCAAAAATGCTTTTTCTTCTATAAAACAAAATAGTTCAACTTCAATAACTACTTTTTCCACTAAAAATTTTAAAAGTGTAAAAATATATAAATAACTTATAGTTGAAAAAAATTGTCTGACAATAAATTCTCTTTCTATTTAAAACAAGAAAATGTCTAAAAATAAATTATTTTTTCACTGTAAACGCCAAATATTGTCTAAAAATAATAAATTCTTTTTCTATTCTAAAGGAAAAAATAGTTCTAAAGCAATTGATTGTTCTGCAATGAACAGTTAATATTGTCTGACTGAAAATTCTTTTTCTACTTTAGAATAAAAAAAAAGTATGGCAATAATGGAATTTTCTACTAATTATGAATTATTTAATTTCATGTTTGATATACTGTAAAAATAAAAAATTATTTGAAAATAAATTCTCTTTCTACTGCATAAAAAATTGTCAGACTAGAAATGATTTTTCTACTGTAGAACAAAAGAAATCCACATTCAATAACAATTTTTCAACAAAGAAACATTTTAAAAAAGTATAAAAATATATGAATTACTTACAGTTAAAAAAATTGTCTGACAATAATACAATTTTTTGCTAAACATTTAACTTATTTACCTCAGTGTCTGACAATGAAAGAATTTTCCACTAAATATGTATTTAAAATTTTTTTTCTTTTTTTACACTGCAAAAAGAGATAATAATTAGTTTTTAAATAGGAAAAATTGACTGCTGTCTGACTATGACCGAATTTTCTACTAAATATCTATAATTTTATTTTTCTCTCTCTTTCTATATTGAAAAAAGGAGTTAAAAATTAAAAACTCGCAGTAAAACTTGTAAAAAATAAATATTGTCCGACTATTACGTAAACATTAACATTGTCTGGCTGTAACATTCTCTTCTACTGTAAAATAAAAAAATGTCTTACAATGAAAGGATTTTCTACTAATTATGAATTATTTATTATAATATTTAACATACTGTAAATGTAACACATTATTTTGAAAATTAATTCTTTTTCTACTGCATAAAAAATTGTCCTACCAGAAATGCTTCTTCTACTATGGAAAAAAAAACACTTTTTCTTTTTATTTTATCTACTAAAAACTATAAAAAAAAGTGTAAAAATATATGAATTACTAATAGCTGAAAAAAATGTCTGACAATAATAAAATTGTTTACTAAAGATTTATATTATTTACCTCAATGTCTGAGAATAAAAGATTTTTCCACTAAATAGATATGATTTAATTTTAATTGTTTTATATTTTTTTAACGATGACATAAAATCTCTGATTGTAAGCAGATTTTTTTAACTGTAGGTTTACTAAAAAAAATTTTTTTTAATTTTTCTACTTTTTAACAAAAATGTTTGCTAATTAGAGTTATTCTCAACTTAAAAAAAGAAAAGTATTTTTTATTTTACTTTCTTTTTCTATTGTAAAGGAAGGAATAGTACTGTAGCAATTAATTGTTCTACTGTGAACATTAATATTGTCTAACTGTAAAATCTCCATCTACTTAAAAAATTTAAAGTGTCTGCCAATGAAAGAATTTTCTACTTAATATTAATGATTTTTTTCCTTTTTTTAACACTGCAAGAAAATGATAATAATTACTTTTCTAATAGAAAAAAATGAGTATTGTCTGACTGTGAAATCTTTTTCTACTGTAAAATCAAAAAATAATCTAACAACAGGAGACTTTTGTACTTTTTATGTAAAATTTAATTTTTCCTTTTTTATAGTGAAAAAACAAATGTTTTCCAAAAGTGAATATTAAATACTGTCTGACTATTAAAGAATTATCTACTTTAATATAGAAAAAATGTCGGACAATGAAAGAATTTTCTACTAAATATGAATGATTTAATTTTTTTCCTTTTTTTACATTGCAAGAAAAGGAAAAAGTTTTGTAATAGAAAAAATTGACTGTTGTCTAACTTTAAAATCTTTTTCTACTGTAAAATCAGAAAAATATCTGACAAAAAGAAAATTTTGTACTTTGTAGGTAAAATTTAATTTTTTTTCTTTTTATAGTAAAAAAACCGAATTTTCTACTTAATATCTATAATTTTATTTTTCTCTCTCTTTCTATATTGAAAAAAGAGTTAAAAATTAAAAACTCGCAGTAAAAATAGTCAAAAATAAATATTGTCTGACTATTACGTGAATATTAACATTGTCTGACTATTACATATTTTTCTACTGAAATAAAAAAATGTCTGACAATAACCGAATTTTCTACTAAATAACTATAATTTAATTGTTATCTTTCTTTATACCTACTTAAAAAGATAAATAGCCTTTAATAGCAAAAATTAAATATTGACTGACTATTATCTTCTATTCTACTGAAAAATAAAAAAAAATTGACGAACTTTCAAAATATTTTTTAATTTGTTGGCAAAAAATTTCTGACAGCTACATACTGGATTTTCTACTACAAAGAACAAATTGTCTGGTTGTAACGTACTTTCTCTCCTGGGAATAAAACTGTAAAAAAGAAGGTTTTTTTATACTCAATGGCAAAAACCGTCTGATTATAACTGGGGTTTTCCACTGAAAATTAAATAATATCTGACGATACTAATTTCTTTCTACTTTTTAACAAAAAAATGTCTGTTAATTACAGTATTTTCTACTCAGAAAGGGAAAAACATACTTTTGACTTTATTTAATTTTTCACAATTAGACAAAAAAAAAATTTCCAAAAACATAAGTAGTTGCTCTATTGTGAATACTAACTCTGTCTTACTATAAAATCTTTTTCTACTGCAAAATTAAAAAAATTTTCTATTTAGTCTCATTTCCTACAAAAATTTTCCTACAACATAAGTATAATTGCTCTATTGTAAATACTAACTCTGTCTGACGATAAAATCTTTTTCTACTGGAAAATTTAAAAAATTTTCCATTTAGTCTCATTTCCTACAAAAATTTTCCTACAACATAAGTATAGTTGCTCTATTCTGAATACTAATTCTGTCTGACTATAAAATCCTTTTCTACTAGAAAATAAAAAAATTTTCCATACACTCTCATTTCTTTCTACCACTGCAAATATACGATTTGTAATTTTCGTCTCGATCGTGTGAACAATTCTAGAGTATAAAAAAAATTAATTCACTCTTGAAAGCCAAAGTGTTTGTTATCAGTGCTTTTTCCCTTTTCATAAATTGTAAATAAAAGAAATTAAATTTAGCAGCAAAAAAAACAAAAAAATTTGAATGAATTCAATAAAATTATAGTCTATACAACAATTACAAAGGTGACAGTTCTAATATAGTATATAAACCACGCCTATCTAATACACAGTTCATCTAAAGTGCAACAAAATCCACTCTATTCTCGAGGATTGAATATTGCATTGCAATTTGTGGTATAAATACTCTGAGATACGCTTTAACGGAGTAACAATTCTAACGACTACCCCCTTATATACACTCACAACAGTCCTTCTAATAAAAGACAATGTTCAAGGTAAATTTAATTTTTCCAAATAAATTTTCTAAAAAAATATTTCAAATTTTCTTCCAATTTTTGTACCGCCTGTGCAGTTAAATTCTAAAGCGATTAACTCAATATTTACAAAAGTTTGTTCTTATAGTATTCTTACTATTACTCTCCTTACTTATTTAGGGAAATTAAATATTTTTAATCCATTTAAATTACTACTTTGTTTATTGAATTTCTATTCTTTATTGAATATTTACAATTTTTTAATTTAGAATTTAGAAATTTTAATAAAACTTAATAATAATTTTTTTAAATGAAATATTTAATATATTTTTATATGAGGAAACGAATTTTTAACTGAAACAGCTACAAATTTCGTTATATTCGCGAAATTCAAAGTTGCTTCAAGTTATAACTTTCGCTATTCTAGAAAATATTTTTTTTTTCTATAATTTGTAAATATTAGTTAAAAGACTGTTTTTTTTCGAAAAAAAGAAGGTGTAAATAAAGTGCAAGTGTAATCAGTGAATGCCAGTGTTTTGTGAATTTATAATTGAACAGTGCTATTGTAAATTAATTGTTTACAATTCTCGAATTTTGTTTCTCGTGATTTTTTTTTCAAATTCATAGAATCAAAACAAACAGAATATGTTTCAAATTTTTAACAGACATGAAAATATTCTTCTTAAAAAAATAAAAATAAATAGAATTTATTTAAAGGAAAACTAATTTGTATAATTATTTAACTTTGAGATAATTTTCAACAAAAATGAAAATTAAATTCAGTCATCTCTCTCTATTATTAAATTTTCGGTAAATGGGATTTTTCAATGAATTTGGTTTCGAGTTCTTTCAAACACTCTTTAAAATAGTTAAATTATTCGATAAATAAAAAACCTTGATAATTTGAATTTTTTATGTAACATGAGATTCAATTTCTCGAAAGTCGATTGTAAATAAATTATAATTTTCATTACATCAATAGGTTTGGTAATATATCAAAGTATTTTTCTCCTCTTTTACTAATATGTAATTACAAAAATAGATTATTTTATTATTTAATTATACAATTTTGTAATCAATATCGAAAACCATTAATTAATTGCATATTCAATATTATAATTTGAAATTAAATTATATGCACTTTTTCTCGAATATTTTTTCGATTTTATTACAAAATTATTTAGTTTTCATCTAATAATTATTTCCTTTCATATAAATAGAAATATTGAAACTAGATAGCAAAAGTAGAAAATAAAAAAAAACTAGGTATCACGAAAAGAAAATAAATAATAAATTTTGTAAAAGTGTTTTTTCAGTTTAGTTTAATATTAACATTGTCTGGCTATAACATCTTTTTCTACTGTAACATCAAAAAACGTATCAAAAATACAAGAATTTTCTATTAAATATGTATGTTTTAATTTTATCCTTTTTTCACAGAACATTAAATTCGTTTTTCAAATATAAATGAAAAAAAAAAATTGGCTAAAAATAAATTATTCATTTACTGAAAACCAAAAAATGTCTGACTATAAATTATTTTCTCTACTATGTAAACTCAGAAACATTTTCTGAAAATAAGTTCCCTTCCTACTGAATAAAAAAAAACTGACAGACAAGAAATTCTTTTTTCACTATGGGACAAAAAAATTCTTCGACAATAACTATTTTTTCTATTTAAAAAGACGAAAGTGTAAAAATATACAATGAATTTTTTTCAATTAAAAGAATAAAATTAAAAATTATTTATTTTTAATTGTCTGCGAATAATACAATTTTCAACTAAATATTCATATTTTATACTATAATGTCTAATAATAAAAGAATTATCTACTGCAGAAAAAAAAATTTATTGCCTCATATTTTTTTTAACGATGAGATAAAATCTCTGATTGTAACCAGATTTTTGTTTTCTGTAGGTGTATTAAAAAATGGCTGACTATATTTAAGTTTTTCTACTTTTTAAGAAAAATGTTTTTGTTAATTAAACTTATTCTCAACTTAAAAAACGAGAAGTGTTTTTTATTTTACTTTCTTTTTCTATTTTAAAGAAAAAAAATAGTTGTACAACAATTAATTGTTCTACTGTGAACAAAAAAAAATAAATAAATAAAAAAAAAATAAAAAAAAATAAATAAAAATAAAAAAAAAAATATTAAAAAAAAAATAAAAAAATATTCATCTACTTAAAAAATTTAAAATATCTGTCAGTGAAAGAATTTTCTACTTAACATGATTTATTATGATTTATGATTTATTTTTTTTTCATTTTTTAACACTGCAAGAAAAGGATAATAATTATACTTTTCTAATAGAAAAAAATGAGTATTGTCTGACTTTAAAATCTTTTTCTACTGTAAAATCAAAGAAATATCTGACAATAAGAGACTTTTGTACTTTTTATGTAAAATTTAATTTATTTCCTTTAGTTTTTATAGTAAAAAAACGAATGTTTTCCAAAAGTGAATATTAAATACTGTCTGACTATTAAGGAATTATCTACTTTAAAATAGAAACAAATGTCTGACAATGAAAGAATTTTTTACTATGAATTAATTTTTTTTTCTTTTTTTACTTTTATATAAAACCAAAGTCTGACCGTGAAAGAATTTTCTACTTAATATACATATGTGATTTAATTTTTTTTTCCTTTTTTTACACTGCAAGAAAAGGAAAGAATTTTCTAATAAAAAGAATTAAGTATTGTCTGACTTTAAAATCTTTTTCTACTGTAAAATCAGAAAAATATCTGACATTAAGAGACTTTTGTACTTTGTAAGTAAAATTTAATTTCTTTCCTTTTTATAGTAAAAAAAGAATCTTTTCCACCAGTAAATATTCAATAGTGTCTGACTGTAAAAGAATTATCTACTTTAAAATAAAAAAAAACGTCTGACAATGAAAGAATTTTCTACTAAATATGTACTATTTAATTTAATGTCCGACATACTGTAAACGCAAAAAATTGTCTCCCCCCTCTTTAAATTTTGAATACGTAAAAATATTTACTAATTTGAATAAGTAACTGATTTTTTGCTTTGGAATTTGTAAATTTTACTATTAAATTAGTAGAAATTACTATTATTCATTAGTAAAATTTAATAACTGACTTTTTGCTTTTACATTAGTAAATTTTACTCATAAATTAATTGGAAATAGTATTTAATAATAAAATAATAAATAGTAATAAAATTAAAATAGTAATTAAATAGTATTTATTAATAAATTTTACTAATAAATTAGTTAGAAATAGTATTTATTAATAAAAATTACTAATTCAATAAAGTCAGTCACTAATTACAATTTTTAAACAATTTTACTAATCGAAAAAAATTTAGAGAGCAAATAGTAAAATACTTTTTACAAATTTGATTATTTTTGTTTTCTTTCCTTGTAGAAAAAAAACTAAAATTCAAACTCTTCTTATTTTTAACAATACTTATAATTTATTTCTCGTTTTTTTTTTCTTTTGACAGATATTTGTCGTCGCCTGTCTAATTGCACTATCGAATGCTCATTTAAATCATGGACCAACAATAATAAATCCTCCAAATTACGGACTATACCCAGGAGGATATCAAGTTCGGGAAAATGGTTTAGGAATTCACGGCGACGCCAATTATTTGAATTCTCATAATCCTGGATTAATATCAGCGCATGGACGTCCAGTTATCGGAGCAATTCAACCATTGGGCCACACTGGTTACGCTTATGCGCCGGCTGCGAAAAATTTCGCATTAAATCAAGCACAACTTGTTCAACGTGCTAATCCTCACGCCTATGCACTTCAAACTGGTCAAATTACGCATTTAGGTCAAGTTGGACATTTGGGTCACTTGGGACAAGTGGGACATTTGGGACATTTAGGACAAGTTGGTCACTTAGGTCATGTGGGCCAAGTGGGACATTTGGGACATTTAGGACAAGTTGGTCACTTGGGTCATGTGGGACAAGTAGGACATTTGGGACATTTAGGTCAAGTGGGAAATGTAGGTCATTTAGGTCAATTGGGACATTTAGGTCACGGTGGTCACGCTGGAGGAAATTTCGTTGTCCCGCCGAGTGTCACATTTTCGCAAAATGCCCCGCAGAGAATTGCCCCCATTGGACACGTTTCGAATTCCGTTCGAATTCCTTATTCATATCCGGTAATTAATGCCCCACATCCGGTTTCCCACGGCGATGCCCAGCAAATTTCCTCCCCCGCTCATGGCTGGTAAATAATTGAGAATAAATTTTTCAAAAATTTATTTTTTCTCCATCCTCATTTTTCATTTGAATTTTGCTCCATTTGAAAATTTACTTTTCAAAAAAATCAAAATTTTTACCTTTTCGAATTTTTATACAAAAAAAAAAAAAATAAAATTTTCTTATTAAACTTTTGAAAAATTTATTTTTCATTTTAAATAAAAATTTTCACTGTTTTTCCATTTCTATATTTATATTTTGCGTGAGTTAAAAATTTACTTTCCAAAAAACAGAATTTTTACCTTCTTTGAAATTTTTATAAGAGAAAAAAAATTACTTTTCTTGGTAAGAATTTCAAAAATTTATTTTTCCCCACCTTTTCAAGCAGTTGTCCATTTATTTTGCGTCAACAAAAATTGAAAACAAATTTTCTTTTTTTGAATTTTTATGCAAAGAAAAAATTACTAACGAAATTTAATTTATTTAAAAATAATTTGTTTTTCAAATTTTTTTTAATCATCGACATTTAATTTTATTCGTATTAAAATTCTGCGCTTTTTTCACAAAGTAAATACTTTTTGAAAAACGAAATTTTTTCTTTCTATGAATAACAATTATTGATTCAAGAAAACAATTTTTTGTTTGGAAAAAAATTATTTCTTTAACGAAAACAATTTTTTTTGTTAGCGAAAAAAATTATTTTTTCAACGAAAACAATTTTTTTTTTTTTAACAAAAACAATTATTTATTCACGAAAACTATTTTTAGTTTACAAAAAAAAAATTATTTCTATAACGTAAACAATTTTTTGTCAATGAAAAAAATTGTTTTTTTAACGAAAACAATTACTTTTTTTAACAAAAACAATTTTTTGTCAAGGAAGAAAATTTTTTTTTTAAGAAAACAAGTATTTTTTTGTTCTCAATTGTTTGGAACTTTATTTCACTCATCGACATATTTATCATTTGATTTTGTCAATTAAAATTTTGCGCCAGTAGAAAATTTACTTTCTAAAAAAAAAAAAATTTTACATCTGAGTTTTTTTCACTACGAAATTATTTGTAACGAATTATTTTTAATTCGCATTCTGAATAGAATTTTTAACATTCATCTCAAGATTTTTATTCCATTACATGTACAAAAAAATTTCTGCATGTCACGATTTAATCAAATCATTGTAAATTCTACAATTAGATTTTTGATACTATGTTATGTAATTATAAATTATATTAAGAAATTATTAATTAATTGTATACTGTAATTACATCAGTGAGAAAATAAAAAAAAATATTCCTCTCTAATAATTATTTCTTAAATCCTAATTTTACTCTGTATTCAATTTTTATTCACAAATAAGTGAAATAAGTAATTATGAATAATTATTAAATTACGATATATCGTAACAATTATTAATAATTATATTGAACTAATATATAAGTATTATATTTCTATTAATTTTGCACCTCTCTCTCCCCTATTTACAAAAATTGAAGTTTTTAAAAAAATTACAATAAATTATATAATTAATAGAATTTCAATTAAATTATTAATTAAATTAGTAATTATGAAAAAAATTGCAAATAAATTATTTATTTCTGTATTTGGTCAGTGCTCGTATTTTAATTTATATTTTATATTTAATATAAAATTGATAATTTAATTCAATTATCTAAAATTTTAATTAAATATGGAAAAATAATTTTACCTGGAACAGCGATAATTTTTTCTAGAATAGAAAAAAATTGTAACTGAAGCAAATAAAAATTTCGCTAATGTAGTGAAATTTACTTGCAGATAAAATATTTTTCCGTGAATAAAGTAATTATTTTTTTAACAGAAAAGTGTATTTTATTTCTCTCTTTTTCAAGACAAAAAAATACAATACAAAAAAAAACAAGAAAAAAAATTCAAAAAAAGAAAAAAAAATACAAAAAAAGAAAAAAAATAAAAAAAAAAAATACAAGAAAAATGTGAATAAAACTGGAAAAACGTACTTTCATAATGGAGAGATGGAGTCAATTATGACTTAAATCATTCTTGCATCATCAAAAAGTCTCGTAAACGTCGGCATTGTATCACTATAGGGCTTCGGCCCCGCAGGCATTTTCCGATATTGCAGGCGTGGTCCAGCAGTCAAGTGTTCCAGTTTCAAAGATGAAAGTGACGATTAAAAACGAAAAAAAAATTAATTAAGCCCGCGTATTGTTCTTACGTGACACATGTCACTCTCTATTGGCGTAAATACTCCGCAGACAAAAATTTTCCATTATTTAAAACTTTTCCTTTTTTCCATTTTTAAAAAAAAAATTTTTTTTTTGAAACTATAACGAATTAATTAAATTACCAACTGTGTGATAATTTCTCACAAGAGAATTTCTATTTTTTTTTCGTTTTATTAACACCATTAATTTGTATATTATTAAAATCGAAAGAGAAAAGTGTAGAAAAATATTTCCTTCTACGAATATTTTTTTTTTCCTATGAAAATTTCTATTATTCTTGAGTCAATATTTACTATTAAAACAAGAGTACATTTTTTCTATATTTTTAGTATTTTTAAAATAAATATCCGTTTGAAATAAATTTTATAGAAAGAATTTTTCAACTAAAAAATTATTTTAATAAAGAAGAGAGGATAAAATATTCTAGATTTTTTTTTTTTTTTTTTGTAATTAAAGGTCTTTATATTTTTATAGTTTTTTATTTTTTTTTTAATGGAAATATTTTCGAGAGGCCATGTAAGAAATTCTGCAAACTATTTTTAACGACCTTCGACAGGGAAAAGGGACACGGTTACCTTCTTTTGCCAGAAATTGCGAAATTTCCAGCAGAAAAAAACAATTCTCCACTGAAAGATCAGAATCGGTGAATTTTGATCTTTTCAGGCGCAATTTCGATTTAAATATCATTTGAAATTCATGATACAAAAAAAAAAAAATTCGGTGAGATAAACGATCGTTTAAAAATAAACAAAAAGTAGGTACATTTTAATTAAATAGGAAAAAAACTGAGATTTTTAATTATTATATTACGCAGAATAAAATCGAAGTGAATAAATATAATTAATAAGTAATAAATAATAATTAATAAATAGTAATTAAAAAGTAATAATAAATAATAATTAAAAAATAAATATAATTTAGTAGTAGAAATTAATTCACATTATAATAATTATTAAATAGCCATATTTTTATATTAACAATTATTGTTTATAAAATGTTAATTTGAATTTATCACTCGGTGTTATTTAATAATATTGTTTATATTTATTTATTATTAGAATGGGAAATTATTTATTATTGTTTATTCATAGAATGTGAATTTATTTATTATTCTTAATTGATATAATTTAAATTTGCTATTTTAAAATTAATCCACATAATAAGAAACAATTGTTTTTTTATATTTATTTCATTAATTTATTTACATTTATTTACATTAATTTAAACAAAAAATTTAAATTATAAAAAAAAATTTTTAATAAAAAACGAAGGATAATAAATAAAATAAATAAGTAAAGTAAATAAGAAAATATTTTCTTATGAATATAAAGTAATTATCATTTTTTCTCCAATTTTCGAGAAAATAACTCAATTTTGACTGTAATTTGTTGAAAATTTTAAATAAACCCTCATTTCTTTACACGAAAGTAATAAATAACATCAAAATAAAGTCTCAATGAAATAATGATGATAATTATAACTTTATGTAACGTGAATGACCTTTCTCGTATCGTGCGAGAACATTCAACTTCTGAACTTTTAAATATTGAAAAAAAAAATTCAAAAATTATTTAATTTTAGCCTTTTAATACCAATTTACTCGAAAATTAAAATTATTTCTTCATTTTCTTCTCTTTTTTTCCAATATAACATTTTACTTCTGCTTTTCCTTCCTCTTTCTATATTAATTATCTATTATTTTCAAATTTTTTTTTTACCATCAAATATACTTTTTTTTCTTCGATTCTAATTTATAATTCTAATAATCTTCTATAATAGATTTTAATCTATAAGATTTTTTTTCAAATTTTTCACAGTGTGTATTATAGCAAAAAAAAAAAATTCTTTTCCCACGAATTTTAAAATTTCGTCTACTTTATAAGACTCTTTTTATTTTTGTTTTTCTCTCGTGAATTTCGTCACAATTAAACAAAAATAGATATCGAATTAGTTCCGTAAGAAAGTTTCAGAAGAAAGTAAAGTACTGCCTAGGTATATATATAAAGGGCTTTCATTCTCTTGAAAGAAAGTAGTTCAATTTCTTCTCTTATCTGGGAATATTTATTCAGTGTCATGGAATTTAAGGTAAAAATCGTAGAAATTCGAATTTTATTATTTTTAAGAAATTATAAATAGAAAAAAATTAATAAATTATTTTCGTAGACTTTTATTTTTTATTTTATTTAATAATAGTTTATTTATTTAAAAATTCAGTGCCTGAGAATTTAAGATAAAAATCATAGAAATTCAAATATATAAATATTTTTAAAAAGTTTTTAATAAAATAAAAATAATAAATTATTTTCACAGATTTTCATTTTATCAAATAATAATTTGTTTCTTTAAAAATTAATTTAATTATTGTATTGAGAGCCAGATAATAATTAATAAATTAATACTTCAATTTAATTTTAATTTACAATTAAAAATTCTTGTCGCTGGTGATAAAAAATATTTAACGAAAATTTAATATTTAATTTGAGAAATAATCATTATCAAAATTGAATTATATTTAAATTTTGTGAATTTATAATTTATAATTTCAATATTTTGTGACTAATTATAAAAAGTATTTAATTAAAAATCTTCTTGAAAAAAAAAAAATTATTTAAGAAATAATTTAATAATTATATTGTGACTGAAACTGAAGAAAAGTATAATTAAAATTTTATTTAAAAAAAAGTGAATTAATTAATTAATTTTGAGTAATAATTAATAAACATTCACTTTTAATTTACAATTAATAATTATTGTGACTGATAATAATAAAAATTATTTGTTAATTAAAAAGATTTAGTTGCGATAGGAGTTCAAAAAAAATAAATTAATAATTATTGTACCTATCAAAAATGTTTAATTAAAATTTTATTGCAAAAAATTTTATTTAATATTGTCTAGTGAATAATATTTATTTAATTTTAATTGCAATTATA